GGTCCCTTTGTGCCTGCCATGCCAGTGACACCCCTCCTGAGGGATGCTGACAGAAGAACCGAGCCCATATCGGACAGCAAACATACTGCCACTTTAAGGAAGCTGAGTCACCTTTGTCACAGACATATTTTATGAAAAATCCTTTCGTTAGGATCTTTTCTCCTGAGAGGCCGAGAAGCCTCAGGAACAAATTGTAAACAATGGATATCTGCTGCTGTGGAATGCAACAGGTGGATCTGTGATTGGTCCATGTTGGTTGTTTCTAATTAATGGCCAATCACAGTCCAGCTGCCTCCGACTCTCTGGTCAGTCACAAGATTTTATCATTCTTTTCTATTCCTTGCAAGCCTTCTGATGAAATCCTTTCTTCTATTCTTTTAGCATAATTTTAATTTTATATATATATATATATATATATAATAAAATAATAAATCAGCTTTCTGAAACATGGAGTCAAGATTCTTGTCTCTTCCCTCATCCTGGGGACCCCTGCAAACACCACCACACACCTTCACTGCTGTTCCCACCCCCCACCTTTGGCAATTGCAAGGCCCCTCTTTCTTGCCAGAACAATGCCTGGTACAAACACCCCTTACCAAATGCTGCTGCAGAAGCCTTGCCCCAGTCAGCAGCCTTAGGACAAGAAGGAACAAGGCCATTTATGATGAGTTACTGCTGCAATGTGACTGTCTCAGTGATGGCAGAGCCCTTCCATGTTCAGTGCTGTAGGAGCTGTGTGGGTTTGTCCCAGGTGCCATGGTAGGTGGTCCAGCTGTGGCTGTGAGCCTCCTCAGGGCATATTGTCTTTTACTGGCTCCCTTGTACATTTCTGATGTGTTCTGATGTAATGATTGGGCATCCATTCCCCAAAGGCTGGCTTTGTTGTTTCCTGGGTCAAGGTCAGGAGTGCCAAAGGGTGAGGCTTGCTTAGGGCTGCTGTTAATAATGATGGAGCCTATGGAACAGACTTGTATTCCTCTCCTATCCTTTAATAGCAATTTTCTATATCTTATCTTAATCTGCCATATCCTGTGCAGGCAGATAGGGAGGTTAAACTGCAGCTGTGTTTCTTTGGCTGTCTTCTATTCTTGCACCCTCTGTCACTTCTCTGTTTATTTGAACTTGACTGCACTGAACTCAGTGGAATTTCTGAATGCTCATCCTTACCAAACACCCACACTTTTCTATACTTATATCATTCTTCATTTTAAGTTCCTTCTTTTGGTGCTTTGAAAGTGGGATTTAGCAAGTCGGGGTCCTAATCCCTCTGGGGTAAATGCAGAGGCATTGCTCTGCCTCTGTCAGATACAGACAACAGCAGTTTCCTGTCTGATAAGGACTTTTAAATCTACAAGTTGCTTTCTGATCTTCAGAGGAGGTGCATAGATGTACAATGTATATTTCAATTTCCTTCTTGATACTAATTATTCTTCTTCAGAGCAATACTAACTTATCTAGAATCTTATCAAGCCAGCTGATTTCAAAGCAGGGGGAAGGAAATAATGTGCAGAGAGAGCAAATATTTATTTAATTACTTTTATTAAAATAAAAATATCATGCATTAATACGCATTAGACATTTTTGAGAACCAGTAATATGAAGATTAAGACTACATAATTTCTGCATAAAATAGGTTGAGCTGGTAAAACATGCAGCCTATGTACTGGAAGGGTCTGGATGGAAAGATGAAAATGAGAAAGGTGCTATTGTGGCTTTTTTTTTTTTTTCTGTGTACAAAATTAATCTATAAAGACAAAAATTATTTCATTTACAAATTGTGATACCAGGGACCTATCCAGACTGAGTGCAAACTGACAGTTCCAGACCCTCTCTTTACTGTCTGGCAGTGTATTTTGCTCTGTTATGTTGGAGACCCTGCAATTCCTTTAATCTTTGTCAGCCACATGTTCCACCAGTTGGATATTACACGCCATAGTCAGGGTACACTGGGGCTTCATTTGGCTCAGCCTTTGCTAAGAGAATTTCTCTTCCTGCCTTGTATAGTACAACAATTTAAGTCATCAGTGTGACTCTGGTTGAGACTTTATTTTGACTTAGCTATGCACTTTGGAAATGGCCAACACTATGGCTTCATATGCCACATGGATCAGCCTTTGAGGGATTGCTTTCACTCTGCTTCTGCTCTTGTCATGGAAGTGAAGTGGGAACCTGACACATAAAAGAGCAGCTTTTTTTAGGCCCTGATAAGCAGCACCTGGGCTTTCATATTGCACTTCACTGGTCACAAGGGCTGCCTGTATTATTGCTCATATTATGAAACTCCAGCACTGTGCATGCAGAGAGCCAAAGAGTCTTGAAGAGAGGAAAGAGTGCTGTAAATAGCTTCACTAAGCTCTGGATAAATCCCCAAGGTGACAAATTTTACCAGAAAAAAAAAAATCTAAGTCCATCAATAAAGAACCCTTACTGTGAGTTCTCCTCTGGCTACAAGCTACAAGCTAGCCACTGCTTTTTGTTCCCCCCAAATACAACAGTATATTACAATAAAAGTCCTCCAAAAATTAAAAACAATTAAAAAGAATAATATACACCTCATTTTTTCATCGCTCATATACAAACAATCTTTGATCAACAGTATAAACCATTAAACCATATAAAAGTCAAGAGTTTCTTATTTTACAAATAGTGCTTTCATAGTTGAGTAACTTTACAATGTTCTGAGGGTACCATCTGTATCTGTGGATATATTGCTTGATAGTTTATTAAAACCAAGTCATCATACCTTATATTCGGTTGATTGCATCAGTACAAAGCAGCCTAAAATGGGCAGTGGATCCATAGGATCTCTGATTATTGTGAGGGATTTTCAAAAATCACTCAACATTAGCCTTGTTTCATACTCTCAGTGTAATCAATTTCAATATCCCATTAATTTCAAGGAGAATACTATTAGGAATGTAGGATTAAAAAGGGAATGTAGGTATGTGAGCCAAGCCTTCTACCATTGTAGACAACTACTTTGATTATTCCCTTTAATAAAATATGAAGATAACATTGATGGTGGTTGCAAATGCACACTCTCCAGCTAGCTTATGGGAGGTAAGGAGAAGAGTCTGGATAAATTCCAGCCTGACTAGAAATGATGTACTGTGTTGGCTGTGTAGGAACAACACCTTCTACTAGTCCAGTTGTTAGAGGCATTTTTGATTTCTGGTTTTTACCTTATTAATCAGAAAAATCCATTACTTCAAAGTGAGAGATAGAGACCATAGGACCTGTGCTGCCCCATCTGCACCATGTTAGAAGATGACAGCAAAGGTGATGAAGTCCCAAATCTTGGCTGAAGGTGTTCAGCATTGTGAATGCTGACTTCATCAGTGCAACAAGTACTGTGTCTTTTGCCAGGTAGATTTTCAGTTGCCAATTTTTTCCCTTGGGAAACCCAGTTTTGGAGGCTTTTGAGGGCATAGCTTGACCACTAACTGTGGGACAGCCAACTAGGGCTGCACTTTTCTCTCCCTGCATAAAAAGAAGGGCTTGCACCAACCCAAAATTCTCAGTCCACACGGCCATGGTGATAGAGGTGGTGATCTGCCTACAACAGACATCAGACATAGGCAGGAGACATGGCAGAAAGCAAAGCATATCATGGAAGCTCTGTGATTTCAACTCCCCTGCATAATTGAAGTAATACATAATGAAAAGTGTTACTGTTTTAAAGTCTCACTGCCTGCCTACACACTTCCTCACACAAAGAAGTTATTTTATCATGCCTCATCTTCACATCATTGTATTTTTTTCCTGATACTGAGCCAAAATATCATTATTTGCTTCTTTTTTCTTGGCTATTATTTGCTTCTTTTTTCTTGGCTATGTCTCTGTTTAGATATTGCATTAAGTGCAATAAAAAGTAGAGGTTGTAGGTTTGGCCCTGAAGTGATGAATGGTCCTGATATTCAGTTTGGTTTTCTATGGACAGGCCTCACCCTCCTGCCAAGCTCTCTTTGCTCAGTGGAGGTCTGACCCTACCCCAGTGAAGGGTGCAGCTCTGTAGCTCTTCTCTATAAAAAGAGGCTGTGGAAGTGGTGATCAATACCTTATTCCTTTAAAGCAAGAAAACAAGACGTTACATCTTTGGTCCTAATGCAGCCCATTTGATAAGCTACTTGAAGGTGTCAAATTTTTCTTTTGTATAAACTTTTTTTTTCTTTTTTTTTTTTTTATTATTTAAAAACGCTTCTTGAAAGTTGTATGTCAGAACAAAGAGGGGACACTTATAAGAAGAGAGCTAGAAAATGGGATCCCAATATAAAAATTTGAATCAGTGGTGATAAAACATTACAAAGCAGTCTTGTTAAGTGTTATACACAGAGTCTGACATTTCATGAGTATATGGTTTCCACCAAGAAGGAGGACACAGGTACATTTTCATACTTTGTCCTGATTCAAGTGTTTTCTCATAGAGAAACTTTGGGGGAAACAATGGCTGCTTATTTGACAGGCAGTGGTCATACTAACAGAAAATGTGGAACCCTGAATGTGAAAAATGAGCACTTGTCTGGAAATGCAAAGTTCCTTCTTGACACCCTGGAGCACACGCAGACAGACCAATAATACCCCAGGCACCTTGTGATGGGATTTCTTCAATCTGTTTGGGGTCCTCTGACATTGTTGTAACCCTAACTACGTCCCCCAGGGAAGAGATACCCCCCATAATACAAATGCCATGTACATTGGTTTTGGCACAAGCAGTCTCTGCAGCCCCCTTCACATCCAGCTGGGTTCAGGGACAGCAGCACCTGTACCTGCAGAACAGCCAGTGGCCTCGGTGATGTCCCTGTGCAAACTCAGCAGCTCTCTCAGGTATGGACTGGTCAGCTGCAGCCCTTCCCTGGCATTACTCTCCCTATACAAGTCCCTTCCTTTCAAACAAACCACAGGACCACATTTCCTAATGCTAGGGCAGGCTTCAAGTCGTGGGGAGGTTGGTGTGATGGGGCATCACCCTGAGGCATTCAGAAACCACCATCTATTTCCAACTGCTCTCTCTAAAAAAGCTTACTCCAGTGTTGACTGTCATCTGGGAACAGTAGCAAGCCCCTGGTCTCTGGATGAATTTACTTGACAAAATCTATTGCAACATGAAGAAAATTTCCCAGATCAATTCCCTTTGCAGCAGAAGAAAACAACCCAAGGCCCACAATGAAATCAACTGCGCTGACACTGCACACAGTCACTGGAAAACATCAAAGTAAGATGAAGACTCTTAACTTACATTTTCATACACTTAGAAGTTAGTAAAAGTCCTAAATTATTACTGCAAAAGGAGTTCTGTAATAACTACAGCTTTATGATAGATGCTAAGGAATAATTTGTGAGTGTTTTATTTGGTCTTCCATGACAAATACAGTAAAAGGGAAATTTTATCTTTCTCTAGTGGCAAGACTGTCAGCTTTCAGAAGAGGCTTTGTTATGCTACATTTTCCTGTTTAGCTGTGTCTTTAAAATCAGCCTTTTCTACCCACACCTCCAGCTGACCTTTCAAGTTATTTCTGGATGTTGATTTATGCTGCTTAACCATGGTCTCCTGTATGAGCACACACAATCTGCTGGGGTCTCCTTGCTGTTTGATGTTCAGTGAGCAGCAATGGATAAACCAGGGCACTTCTGCTGCTTACTTGTGTTTTGTTGTTGTTGTGTTTTTTTTTCTAATCCTGGTGGAAATTATTTGCTATATTGCTATTATCTGTTACCTGTGAGCATCAGCCTGCACAGCACCTGTGCTTCCAGCCACAGCCATTGCTGCACAGTCCCATTTGCTCCCACTGCCACTGTATCTGCCCCTGCAGGCACTACCTAGCTTTTATGTTTTGCTGGCTTTTGAATCATTACTGAGCTGCCAACTTACAAATCATGGCTTACAAGATGCCATTTACCAGAAATACTTCACAATAGAGTTGATCCCGCCAGTCTGGAATCTACATTTGTATCAAGAGTTTGTGGTCCTACATCCTCTTTCCTACTTTTTTCATCAAAAACATCAAAGAGAGATTCTTTCAAACTTAAATTGCTTAATTTTTAGATGAATCTCCTTGTTTCTAGCAATGAGCTGCTACTGAATCCCTCCTGAATTGTTTTAAAAGGGCAGGCATTAATCTCTATTCATGCTACATAATGCTGGTGATACATAATGCTATTTCTCAGTGGTTTTCTTGTTTTAGCTAACAGATTAAACAGATTAAAATCAGTAAATTCCTTTGTGCAGTAGCGTTTGAAAGATTCTGTGGGAGAATATGCACTATGTGATTTTCTAGTGTTCTGCTTGGAGACATAACATCTTCAGCAAATTGAAAAATTATCTGTGAATTCTGTTAAGAACTTTTTTTAGTTTTATGTACATTTCTGCCAGAGCAGTGGGTGGGGGAAAGCATCACTGCCTGTGTGCACATGTTACACACTTGTGAGAGCAGCACAACAAATCTGCTCCCAGGAATGCAAGGAGAAATCTGCTGTTAATTGGACGTGGGAACTGAATTTTGGTTGCTGTTTTAAATAAAAGCCACTGATAATCCAAGTCAAACATTGCATCTTCCACACTGCTGTGTCTGGGACTTGGTCATGGTGAGACACATCTACCAAATGGAACAATCTCTGGATTCTGACCCAACATGCCACTTCACCCTGTACTGTAGTGGGACCCATGAGCTGTACACATACAAACTGCTAATGCATGTTACTTAAAAAAGGGCTCATTTCACATGACTGAAGGTCTCCTTTCCTCTGTAATTCTGTAAAAACAGTGCTCTAAGCATTTGCTGCTTGATCCTGGACTTCAGATGGAATACCTAAACTGAAACACATTATGATGAATTCTAAACACAGCAGCAGCATAAATATGAGTATTTTTTGCTACTTAATATAGACTACAGATCCTCTCCAAGTCAGCTGCTTATGCTACCCTCAAGCAAGTTGCCAACATTCAACTAGTTAAGAGCTTTTGTCCCCAAATGAGAATTTGCTTTCAGATCTAGTGATTTGATTAAAATAGCACTGCCAAGCTGCTGGTGGGATGCATCTAAAGGACTGACTAAATTCACACTTTAGGCACTTTATTCCTCCTACATTCATAAGAAATGTTAGTGATGGAATAATTTTATGGGTCACTGGAAAGTGTAGCTGCTTTTGCTGCTGTGACTGATTTATACTGTCAAGCCTAGATCTTGCCTTGCCTTGCCTGCCTGTACCACACTAATAACCAGATGATGTTGCTGCATATTTCAAAGAAGAAGTAGGTAACTCTGTGCTTCAGAAGAGGAAGATAATATTTTCCATCACTCTAGATTATTCTTTCTTTCCTTAATTCATTCTCACTGTTCCTCCTGCATCGCCAGAATAGTAACCCCAAAGGGACATTTAACTAGCCCCAGCCTACTACCAACAATTGGTAGTATTTTGCCTTGAAGTGAGTGAAATGTACTACTTAGATAGTACCCCTTTTCTTTGCCAAATGTATAAGGGAAAATTATTTCTGCTTTGAGTCGCTTTAAAATGGGAAATAAAGCTGTTTGGCCAGAACTACCTGTATTTCTTGCCTTAGTCAAGTTTAATTTAGTATAGTTCTTCCAGTCTGTCTCGTGAGTGCTCCAATTTGCCACTATTTGCATTTCCCTGACATTTAATTGAAGTCTGTTAAACATTATCTGACACTTCATTTTTCAGTTACGGCAACACCTTTAACAGTTTTGTGGAAGAAGAAAGGCATTTTGACAACTTGACAGCTGCATAAGGGATCAGAACAAAAAAAAGTCTTGTGTTTGACCATCAGAAAACAGACTAGTGAGCACTTTATAATCATGTATAGGTGACTTGGAGGCGTGTTCCTCTTGTCAGTTTGTGGCAGTAGTGGTCAGCAGGTGATGCATTGTGCCATTTTGCTCCTTGTGCTAGTTTTCCCCAGATCAATCCACTCCATACTGCCCTGGGCACAATCACCCATACGTCCCTCAGATGCACTTCTCACCTTTGGGCCAAAAGGCAGTATATGGAGCCAACTTGTAAAAATCTGGTGGTTTGAATAACAGTTTCAGTTCCAGGAGATTTGGAACATAATTCTTTTCCCTGCTGGTGATCTGAGCAACACTTAGCAGACGAGCAGTACAAGCATCTGATCTTGTAAAAGATCCAAAACTTCTGTTAGAAACATTTATAAAAATACAGAATGTAGAAAGGAATTTGACTGTACAATGTGTACAGTTCTTGAGTTCATCCCAGAGTGGCTTTTTACCATGCTACCATTTGAAAATGAAAGGAATGCATCCATATTTCTTCAGTCCAGGAAGATCCTGCTCCATCCCAACATGCATCTGAGCGCAGGCTATGGGCCTCAGTTGTTATTACATGGAAATGGGCAAGGAAAGACCCAAACTACCATCAGACAGGCTTTGCAGTTTCCAAGCCCCATGCTGAAAAGCAGAGGTGCTTTTTGATGCATTGTGGTTGCCATTTGCTCTGAGCCAGAGTCCACTCTTGCAGCAGTCAACAGTTCACTTATCCAGCTTGCCTTGCTGCAAGAAGAAATTCTCTATGGTCATGCTGAGGCTTCAATGTATTCACTTTTTGGTGCTGCTACCCTCAAGTACTCTGGGTTTTCTGCTGCAGGAACTTTCAAGAGACCATTAGATTTGGTTTCCTTCGGTAAGAAGTCCTGCTGGTAGTCAGGATTGTCCAGGTTTATTTGGTGGTTGCCTGCCTGGATCCAGTAGGGAGAGCTCTCAAAGACTGTCTTGGTCAGGGGAGACTGGTTGGTGTTGAGATACTCAGGGTTGTCCACAGCTGTGCTGTGTGAATTCTGGTAGCTGGAGTCTGTGGGGACCTTTGAGTTTGCTGTGAGAGAGAAGTTGTTGTAGATTGGATTCTGGATTGCTGAGGCAGATGCTTTCTTGGGCATCAATTGGTTTACATACTCTAGAATAAAAAGAAAATTAAAATGAGAAGGAATGAAAAGGAAGATATAAAATTAATGCAGACATTTGTGTCACTTGACATTTAGTTTCAACCCAGCTGCCACTTGGTCTTTGCACATGGCACGTCTCTGAATTTCCCAGAGTGGAAAAGAGCCAAAGGCAGGGACTGCCACTCTGGGGCACCAAACATGCTGCCCTGAGGTTCACCTTCAAGAGTTTTGTTTGCCAACCAGCAGAAAGATGGCTTGGACCATGAGACAGTGAGATAGCTACTGCTGATTTTAGTGGTGCGTGGGTGGCTGTGTCCCAGATAGTGTTCTGAAATGGCAGTTTAGGAGGTTAGCTGCCAGAAGCTGTTTCCCTGGAAAAAATGTTTAGAGATGAGGAAAATGCCTAGAAAATACAGGACTGGCAGTTACAGTGACTCCACGTTTCACGTCAGTGCTATTCCTCACAGGGCCTTTCACCCTTTTTAGCTATGGCATATTCTTGGTTGGGATTTTTTAAGGACGCAAAGCATCATCACTGCATTATCCAGCCCCATCTCCCTCAGTGCTCACTGGCTCTCTCTCTGGCCGCCTACACTGTAAGTCCACGTGAAACCATGAACTGCCTTCTGTGGTTTAAGTTCTGAAAGCAATGAAACAGCCTTAAAGCACTTTATATTGGTGAAATGGCAAAAAAAAAATGAAACCAAAATTTTTAGAGGCTATTTTCTCAAGTAGAAAGCTTTAAACATATAACCACACATGCAAACTCCCTGCCTAGATGGCACCCATGGCTAACATAAGGAATCTGGCTCATGAGGGAACTGAAATGACAAATGGTTAGAAGCAGACAGATAAAGGCTAGGAAAATGGTATGTGAACACTTTTCAACTCCCATTTACTGAGCCAAAAAGATAGAAAGCATTTGAATTGCTTCATTTCTACAGAAAAGGAAGGAAAATGATTATATTTGCAAGCAAAGGGCTTTTGAATGAGTGGCCATGGGATGGAAAAACAGGAAAAGTACTCACCTGGGGCTGGTAGGAAGTTGTCATCTAAGCTGTCCTCCAAGAAAGCTCCTGTTGGGTCTGAGCTATACCTCTGGACAAAGCTGTCTTCCCGCACAGGGTGCCCCTGCTAGGATGAAAGTAGAGAAAAACAATATTAAAGGGACTGATTTGTAGAAGCTGATCCACATAGGAGGATTTACTCCATTATTAAAGGTCATTCCACTTACCCCGTTCCTGTCAATGCAGGTTGTAGCAGAGTTGTTGCTGGTAGCACTCTTAAAAGACAGAGAAAGAAAATACAGACATTATGAGAAGCAGTTCACTCTTAAAATTTCATGTCATGTTTCCAAAGTGGAAAATTTTCATACCAATGAACTCAAGAGAGGTGTGCGAGACGTTGAAGGGCTGTTGAAAAAGCCCTGGTGTGGCACGAGGTACTCGTCTGCATCCACTATGTCCTCCATGTCCTCCTCCTCCATCAGGGTGCGATAGAACTTGGAGTCCGTAGGGCTGGGCAGGTGCATCCTGTCATCTCCCTGTTGAAAAAGTCCGCATGAGACAAGACTTGCAGACTCCTTTCAAGCCCTCATTCTCCCCTTCTCTCTGAGACAAAGTAATTTAACAAGGAGCACAAGATGCAAAATCTTGATTCATTGATTCACAGGATATTCTCAGTTGGAAGGGACCCACAGGGCAAGTCCAATGTTTAAGTAAACAGCCCATTCAGTGATCTGTGCATTTAACCAAATTTACCTAGAGTTTAGGGGAACCTAGACCTGCAATCTCAGTCCATGTGCTGTAAGATAACTGCATTTTGAAGAGGATCAAACTCTGTTTTCCTCTCATGGACTGTTTCTGATCCTAGACTGAGACCAGTACTAAGAAAATAGTGACCAGTCTTGACATTTTGTTTGTGGCTCTAGCTAAATGAGTTAAAACCTGGAAAGCAACAATAAATGTGGCCTTCAGTTAGCCATATCATGCCCATCAGAGGTCTTCCCACCAGTGTGGTTAGTACCTGTATAACAAGATAGCGTGGAGGGTCACGGGCCATTTTTGAGAATTCAGCTATCAGCTCACGGAACTTGGGACGGCTGTCTGCATCGATCATCCAGCCTGCAGGAAAAGCAGTGCACAAACAAAGTTTTCTGGGTGATCAAACACAGAGTTTCAAATAAAATATAACAGGAAAAAAGGAGTGCCATGTGTGGAACAAAGAAAGGAGCTACCCCTAAGGGACCACCATAAAAAGTTAATTCAGCAGCCACAGGTGTGAATTTCAACATTTAAAATGCAGATCTTGGCAGTTTTGGGAAGACGGAAATAAAACACCACATTGGAAAAGCTTCAGGCTGAGTCTATATCCACGAGGGCAGACAGGTCCCACCTGAGGGATAATCCTAATTAGATTGCTTTGAAAAAAGCTCTTGAAGGAGAGGAATCAAACTAACACTGGTGGGTGCCTGCAGAGGCACCAGGATTTGGCTGTCTGACAGTCACTGGACTGCTTCATGAAGTCCTGGGAAGCTTTCAGCAGAAGCCTCCCTCTGTACCAGATGTCTTCTAAAATACAAAACATCCTCACTGGAGACATATTGAAAGATTACTGCAACTAAGCTGTATTTAATTAGTAAACTGACTTCAACAAAAGTAAGTCCTTACAGCTTAGTTTGGATCAATGCTAGAAGAGATTTCAAATACAGATACAGGAGGTTTTACATGTGATATTAGTTAGGAAACCCACATTTTCTGTAATCAACTAGCAGATGAGCTGATCTAGAGACTCTTGTGTTCAAAATTAAAAATAATAAAGGTCCAGATTAGAGGAACTCAGAAGAAACAGCCTATCTATATTAATGGGAAAACGAAGTGGTGATATGCCTTCTGAAATCTGCATTAGACAAAGATCCATGTTAGACAAAATCTCATTATTTCCAGTGACTTTTTACCATGCTAGAAATATCATTCCCCACTAATTCAAAAATAAATGCTTCTTGCTATTAGACAAAACTGAGTGTTTGGGAGTTCGCTGTTCTTGCAGGAGTAGAATCTACTGTTTCTGACTTTCTCTCTAAGTTGCCTATATTTAAATGCTGGTTTTTAAATTTAAAACTTAGTAATAATTTTGCAATTACTTTGAACATTTCAGTTTATACTTTCTGATTATAAAAGAGGTGACTGGGAATCCTGAATTCCTTTAGATAAAATGGCACAGCTTCAATAGGGTCTGCACTGTAGCCTGCAAACATGAGGTGACCAGAGCAGCAAAACATGTGCAACTGGGTCCTGTGCCAGGAGGAAGGCTCAGCCCCCAGATCCTCACACTCTTGCATTTAAATTCAGTGTAATGGCATGGAAAGGATGGGAACACTCCATTGGCTGTGTTTACAAGCAACAGGTACCAGATTAGGTGCCTGGCAAAATGCACCTTTCTACCTCTGGACTGACCCTAAGGAAAGACAGGGGCTGAGGTGTCAGTAGGGTTCAGAATCTCTGAGGAGGAGTTTCTAGGACATTGCTTTGTGGTCTGGGCATCTCCCAGGCTAGGTGCACATTTCTGGATGCAGTTCCTGTTGCCCTGCTGAGCACAGGATCAGGCTCACCTAGTGTGATGCTTGTCCCACCACAGCAATATGTGTGTGCTCTAGGATTCCCCAAAAGTGCTGCACTACAGAGTGTTCTTGGCAGCCTGGCTCCTGTTTCAGGAACAGGTACATGTTGCTCCACTGAGAAGGTCTTAAATGCCACCTAGTGGGCTGCTTATCACATCTTCACAGCAGTGAGCAGGGATGTGGCAGTCATAGTCTAGAGATGTGCAGGAAGCCAGGTTGTAATCTGACATTTAGTATGATGTAGATGGAAAGCGGGTTTGAGGTTCAGAAGCCCTTTTACGTGTCCTAAAACAGCCAAAAACTGCTTCAGAAACTCTGTGCTCTTGAGCTACTATACTGCAACAGCTGCATGCCAAAAACAGACCAGCCAAAAATGAGGAAGAAGTTTGAAAAGGAAGGCTGAATCCTCATGTGCATCTAACATTATGATTGTGCCTGCAGCTTCAGACAGTCCTTTAGTAATAATCCACCTGTGTGCTTGCACATTAATGATCCAAGGGGGAGCCTGGAGGAGAAGGCAGTGCTGATTTTATTTCCTAGGCATACAAAACCAGAGTATCAGGCAAAAGGGTTGGTGTTATGCTCATTTTTAGTCCCTGACCATATAGGTTTAAAATAATTGACAATATCAGTCAGTGGTGTGAATGGTGAAAAACACCTTAGTTGGTTGAGTGAGTGATTAATGAAGCCACATCCCGTGCTCCTAGGTAAAGCTCAAGGTGTGGGAGCACACTCTGGTGTCACCACTCTTTTCACACAACCCGGTTTCTGTGCCATTACCAGGAATGCAGCATAAAATGCAATGGAGTTACTCATTCAGCTCAGCTTGTGAGCAGCCACAAGCCCAGGTGTGAACTCACATTTGACCATGATCATGTACACGTCAATGGTGCAGATGGGCGGCTGCGGCAAACGCTCGCCCTTCTCCAGCACGGAGGAGATCTCACTGGCAGGGATCCCTTCATATGGCTTGGAGCCAAATGTCATCAGCTCCCAAACTGTCACACCTGCAGAGTGGGAAGAGAAGATCATGAAAGAAACAGCCAGGAGCTGGACTGCTCTGCACAGGTGTGGAGAAGTAGCAAGCAGAGAGGGGCCCCTGGAAGCACTGTTTTGCCAGAATCCCAACCTGAGAAACCATTTTCTGCCATGATTTTATAAAGAGATTATATATAACAATTCGAAATAATCCTGCTTCCATTTAAGGTTTTGCTTTTATCCTTTTTTTTTTTTTTTTTAATCTCAACTAATATATCAGTGTTGAACATTCTACATGCTTCCTGGCCCCACAAAAAGGAAATGCAGGTTACTGTCTCCCGACTCCAACACAGCAAGTGGTTTTAAAAATGGAAGTTCTCTTTTTGTTTGAAAACAATCTCTCTGGAGACGAGAAAATGCAGTTTTTGAAAGACGTGTAAACCAGCTGCCTAAGCGTCATTTGCTGACATACCATGGACTCTTGTGATGTAGCTGTTGTGATTGTCCAGTAGCTTAGGATACAAAACAAGATTTTGGATGCCAAGATACATAAATGGATTAAGAAGACCAGAGGCTGTGCTGTTTCAAAAAGGACATAGGATCTGACCATCTGCATTAATATTTTCCAGGAATATGAGAGCCCATGGGGGGAAATTTTGCAATAGGTTGCTTTGAAAAGTTTCCTTTCTGCTCCTTTCTTTCAAGCTGGCTTCATGAACTATACCAAATACAAAATAAATAACTTCTCTAAGGAGGTTATCACACTGCTTCCCTTTTAGCATTGTCCTCAGTACCAGGACAGCATAAGCATTTTTGGCCTCAGCAGTTACACTGATTGACACCAACCGATAGTGTGGTCAGTGACTTTAAGTCCTCCTTGTTATCCATCTCTATTGCCAGCTCCATTATATTCCCTGTGAAGCTGCTGAAGAAAAGCGTTAACAGAACTTCAGCAAATAGACCAGAGTCTCCTACCTGCGGCCCCTTTCAGGGGAGGGCTCATTACCCAAAGCATATTCTAGGAAACATCTTACACCTCACTCACATGCAGTTCCATGGCGATTTTACTTTGTTGAATAGGTGATTTGGGCGCTGTGTTTATATATTTGATCTCTTGTTCTTCTCACAATGCAAAGTAAAAAGGTCAGTATAGAGTCACCAGCAAATCATGAAATTTTCCAACCCATCTGCAATAATTGTAACTGCTTTTAAACTCACCATAACTCCAGACATCACTTTGATGAGTGTAAATCCGGTGTAAAATTGACTCCAATGCCATCCATTTAATAGGAACCTAGGAAAATTCACAAAGAATCCTTAAGAAGCTGGCCCAAAATTTATCAGGGATATTTCCCACCAGGTGGTGTGTAAATCAATAGCTTGGTTGCAGAAGGAAAAAAACCTAAAACAGCCAACAGAACCAGCTGAATGGTAGAACAGGCAACTTTTGAGTTCTCCTTTATTATTTTCATACGTTGTGAAGAACCTGGAAGCATGTGGAATACTAGGTGTATCAGAAATATCTCCTAAAGAGTTTTACAGTATTTTAAACAGTCAAATAACTACTTTTTTAGCTTTCTATCAGAACAAGACACAAATCCAGTCTTAGGCTACATGACTGATCTACACTCATATGGTTTCAGTTTATGGCCTCTGCAATATTTGCAAGCAGCTTCTCTTTAATTTCTCAGCAGGACACGTTCTCTCCATCAGCACGCAGTACAACACAAAAGCGTGTTGAACCAAGTCTGACAGGTCTTTCTTCTGCTATAAATATACAACATTCCCTTTCTCTTTATAAACTGCACAGTCTTATTGGTGTTGGCTGCACTGATGAATTTTCCCAGGCATTCTGGGTGGGAATTTCAAAAGCATTCGCTGCTCTGCTCCCTCTGCTCCCACTGCAGTCCCACTGGCCTGATGCTGCTTTGGCTGATTTCAGAGGACTTCCACAGGCTTCAAAGGCAGCACGCTGGGATGGCAGCTGAGAGCTTTGAAAAACACACTCTCTTTTTCCCCCCTCCCTTTGTTTGAGGCTTGTGTGCAAGCACAAGCACCAGCAAATGAGCAGTAGTTCATTGTGCAGTGTGCTTTACCTTGCCTCCCTCAGCATGATATTCCTTCTCGTCTGCACCGAGCAGCTTTGCCAGCCCGAAGTCCGTGATTTTCACATGCTGAGGGGTCTTGACAAGGACGTTCCTGGCAGCAAGGTCACGGTGCACCAGGCGCCGTTCCTCCAGGTAGTTCATTCCCTGCAATGTAACACACTGCTGGTCAGCTCTCACTGGTACATTCAAGTCACCAAACCTCAGCTGCTCTGTGTTAACCACAGACACCACCATAAACACGTGGTGAGTTATCCCACCCGCACTCTCCATTTAGGTGATGTTTATTGCAGGGTGAGGATGAGGGTTACTGTTGTAACATTATTGACTGTTACTATGACCCCACAGGAACCTTCTTGTGGGTCCAGGCACTGGTGGAGTGACGAAGGAAAAAGATGCGGTAGTGGGTAGAGTAGTTAGTAGCAGGGGATCTGGTTCCTTTGGGACTTAGTTCAAGAAATACAAAATCAGGATGGAACTTACAAATAAAGAGACAAAGTCTTCTCTCGGCTGCGCTTGTGCAAACCCAATGAGTTCAGGAGAGCACAATACAGAGTTTAACTATCCCCTGCCATTAGGTACACACACAAACCCTACAGAGAGTATTTAGGCAATTGCTCAAAGTTGCTCATACTGTGTTTTATTACAGGCAGCATACTCTGCCTTCTTCCTGACAACAATGAGGCAGTCCACTGCAAGGGTAAAAATGGGGGGAAACAAAAAAAAAATCATTCTAGGTCTGAACTCAGAGCTGCATCCATTTTCCAATCCTCTTTGAAAAAGGCAAGTTCTTCCAGTTTCACTGCCTCCCATGATTAGGCTGGATTTGCCATAGCATATGTGCTTTTTTGGTACAACTGCCTCTCAAGGAAGAATGTAACTAATTGTGCTGGTTTGACTTCTAAAGCATAAATTTAACAGCTGTATTTCTGACCACAGAGGTTACTCCCCTTTCCCTCCCATCAGTCTCTTGGTATATGAAATCAAAAAGTTCATGATTTCCAAGTTTCCTACAATATCTTTTCCAAAATCCACTATTAATCCCAGTCCATGCATTTCTGCTGGTGGTAGCTTGTGCACTTGTATTTTTATGAAGAGAATTGATAAAAAAATTACTTTAAACCTACAAAGTTAGCACCAAAATTATTGTGTTGATGTGATGGAAAAGGACTGGAGGGAATAATTGTCTTCCATCCTCCACCCACTTCCTAAGCCCACTTCTAAGATGGACCACCATCGAATCCTCCTTCCAAGTCCCTCAGCAGAACTTCACCCATGCACTGCTAATGTTGCCAAAACAAACCACCCAAACAAACTGGCACAGAGCCACCACAGAGCGTGCACTGAATCACACAAATAGATCTTTAGCAAGCAGAGCTCTCAGAACAAAAACTTCTGAGCTGCTGACAAAAAACAGACTATCTTAAAAAAAATAATAATTGTGTAATCTAGCCCCAGTAGGACAAAAAATGCCCTGCTAAAATTGACTTGCTGCAGAGGCTAATAAGATTCAGAGCTGCTGAAATATCAGTGTCACACTAAGTTGTTTAGGGTGCTGATCGCTGAATACTCCTGCACGTGCATAACCATATACCAAAAATGTTTAACTGCCAGCTTAGAAAGTTCAGCAGATCTTTAATTGTGTGCAGGCCTGGAGTTTAATCCATTTTTCATCACTAAGCATGGGACCCTTGTGTTCAAAGAGTTCCTTCACACTGTTTCTGCACATGGAGTATTTATGCTATCATAACATCTTGCCTGGAAGAGAGGACTCCATACCTCAGGAAAAGATAATGTTTGTAAAAGATGCAAAGAAAACTTATTTCAAAGCTGTGAAAACAGTAACGAAAATAAGCTTCCCAGGGAACTTGCCTCCTGCTGTTTAGTTACCAGACATGTATTTGTTTCAATTCTTTTTTCCACTCAGAAGTAAAAAATTTTTAAAGTGTCAGAGAATGTTCAAAAATCTGGCAAAACTTTATCAGAGTAGTAATACCAGACACATTGGTGGGAAAAAGCTGTACATAAGATTTATGAGTGCTTTGAGAAGAACTTCAGTGGAGTAGCACAAAGGAGTTATGTTGAAGGTCAGGCATCACTGGAGAGGGTAGAAGTTGCTGTGGGCAAATGTTGAACCGCCACGACAAAATCAAACGGAAGCAAACAATTGTGAATGGGAACCTCTCGGGCAAGCAATGCCCCAAAGACCCATCTGGGGATACATTTTGCCACCTTAAAAATTAACAAGGAGAAGAAGGAGGAGGAGGGAAATTTAGCCTCCAGTTCACCCTCCAAAGAGACTGGAACCAGGACAGAGCAGTAATTGATATTAGACAAGAAAGCAAAAGAGTCACAAAAAGTCATAAAAAAAAGCAGCTCACATCCCAGGTGGACACATAAATTAGATTTCACTTGTTGTGGAGCAAAATGTAAAAAAGTTACACTGAGATGAAAAATGTGCTCTATAGACATTTGGTGGATACATTTCTGAGGTCCTCAGCATGTTTCCTGAAAGCAAACCACGGCTGAGCAAGCCTGGCATGTACACAAGGTCTCAAGGGACCAATAAGTTTTTAAGTGTGTGGTTTTCCTGCAGACCAGCATTCCTGAAATAAATAGCATTAAAGCAACCCTGCTGTGTGGACACTGCCATCTCATATGATGAATCTCCAACAAATTGCAGTTATTTTTTTGCTGATTTTGCATTGTTTTTCTATATTTGCAAATAGCCAACCACCATCCAAACACAGCATATTGGCCTAGAGGCTGTATTGCGGTTCCTCTGCTGCTCTTTGGCAAACAGTACCAGGTGTGATAATAAGACTTTTATGGCCATTGCAGTTAGATTACAGACCCCAGCTCAGCATTTATGAATTACAGAATAGCTCTGGAGTGCCTGAATGCCTTTTGGTGAAAGCCAGCCTGAGCAAGGATGGAGCTGGTATTCAGTAGTCAGCAGTTTTGATCCCTGGCCTCAGAGATTTCAGCATGAAAATCTCCAAGGCACACAAGAAGATGTATTGAACATCACTGTCCTGTGACCTAGCCCAAAGAAATCCACTGATGGAAGCAGCATTTTGCTATGGAAATTGACAAATTCTTCTATTGCCTTCCCTGCTGCCTGTGCTGCATCACATTTGCATTGCATTATGCTTTCAATACCAGGTGCTTGGTTTGGACATAAATGTCTAGGTGATAATATTAAGCTGCTTAGAACCATTTTGAAGACTAGTTAATGTTTGCTCATCAGCATGAAAAAAGTAAATTGTTCAAGAAAAAGTAACTGCTTACTGCCATGTTTAAGATACCTATGATCCAGGTGGCGAAACAGAAAGATTTGCAGAGACAGGTAATTACATGCTGTCAGACCTTTGAGTTTTAGCTGATCTGGAGCTGTGCTTACCTTTGCAATCTGCACACACCAGTTGAGGAGGTACTGAGAGCCGATGTTGTCCTTGTGCTCCCGGATGTAATCCAGCAGGCAGCCGTAGGGCATCAGCTGGGTGATGAGCTGAACGGTTGAAGTGAGGCAGATTCCCAGCAAGCGACACACATGAGGATTGTCAACACTAGCCATCACATAAGCTTCCTGAGAAGAAAGGCAAAAGAAGAAATGTGGAACACTCTCCTTGGCATGACATGAATATTTGGAGGCAGTTTAAAATAAGTTGGTCATCCAAGAAGTTGCTAAAATACTATATGCAAACTCTGTGTCTCATATCACATACAAAATACACATATTTCCCATTCTGTGGACTGACTATTTTCCATTCAGTGGAATGTCCAGATTTTGAACACCAAATCATCACTGAGATGCTACAGAAGAACCAGCCTCTCACTACTGTACACCAAGCAAACACTGGACATAAAATCCTGGGAGATTAAAACTTACAGACCAAGGAGGAATTAACAAATTGAACACCAACTGGAAACTGAGGGGATTTCATAAATTTGAGCACCTAATTGAAAGGGCAATACATTTTATGAGCATCGCTTTTTTCTCCACAGACCTTTTAATGAAACTGACTGGAAATCAGTACTTTTGAGAATTCTGCTCCCCTGTCAAGGTTGGTACTAACCCAGAAAGTCAAAGTTGTCATCTAGAAAACGACTGACTGTCTCATTCTTTAAGAGACCATGTTCTTCTTGACCATGTTGTTCTTCATTCCATATCAAACCAAATAGATTAATAATCACTTCACTGCTTTAGAAGCTTGAATGCTTTTCTTTAAGTAACAATGATGAAAATACTGCCATCAATTGGAAAAGCTGGTTTAGACTCATATAGCAATGTAAATTATACTAGAAAGGTACTTGGAATGTGGGAGCCCAAGCATTACAGACCCTTTGGTCAATTGGAATTTTGGGGTTTAGTTTCATACATATGTGAAAAACTCTTTTTTCAAATATGGGTACACCCTGTGTAGCTTTAGGTACCTATCTACAGCACCCAATATACCTCCTCTTCTTTTGTTCTTCCATGGGAAGGGAAAGACCCCTTCAGGGGTGGGTTCAAATACATTATTTAACATAGCCATGGAGTAAAAATTCCTGATCTCATGGTTTTTGTATGCAAAAACTACTTATAGATTGAATTTTAAGATCTGTATTTATACTCAAATCCACTCTAGAGTGCCAGCTCAAAGAATGGATTCCAGGGGAAAAAACATAGAGCTGCAGTTGTTTGGTTTCTTTAACTAAATTTGTGTCTGATTTACAGTATGTCACTTTTAGATATTTTAAAAGTTATTTGATTGAAAAGCAAGACAAGGGGAAATGAATGGGAATTTTTCCATTCAGTGAGCAGGTCAGCATCTTGATACAGCATCTGGAGTAACATCTACTAATCACCCCTTGGCAATTCAGGCTAGCAGTCCCCCAAAGCCTAAAATCATAGTGAAGACATGAATACTGCAAGGGAAAGAGAAAATCTGCTCTTTCTAAGAGCTTAAGAAAATAAATACCAAAGCACTTTACTCATCATCTAGCAAGTTCCATAGATGTCACATAGCTCCATAGCTGGTGAGAACTATTATTAAACAAAGTTATTAAGGCAATGACGTTCAAGAAATAAGCAACTCCAATTCTTAAGCAATACTTTCTGGCCTTTGGGTTGTTGCTTAATGGGCCAGCCTAAGCAAAACATGATGTAATACAGCCTCTTTTGAGGTACTAGTTCTGCATTTGGTATCCCTGTTTTGGAGCCCTCAGAATGAAAATAGCCTCCAGCCAGACAAGTTAAATAGGATCTCCACCAGATTTAGTAAGAGCTCGTCAACCTGCTTCATGATGTGGGCATATCATTGACCAATAGCCCTCTGTCATGGATAGCACTGATTGTGTGGGCTAGCTCAAGGAAAGATAGATAAAGCAGGAACATGATCTGCTATTCAGTTTGTGTATATTTGTGGCATCATTTGTTAGAGATTCTTCCAAATTTGTTATCCAATTCTCAGACATAAGCAGAGACCAAAACAACTTCATTTCCCTATGCTTACAAACTGAGCCATTGCAATGATGAAGGATGCCTTGCTTCCTGCTGGGATTCACATCCATATTGTATTCATTTTGGCAGGTCAGGGCAGGTAGAAGACTGCAGAGCCCGAGCTGTTCTCACTGCCCATCTGCTGCACAGCCCCCATGGGGCTGACCCGGGGGCTGAGCACTGGGACGGGGTGGGCGTTTGGGCCACAGCCTTCGGAGAGCGTCCAAGTGCTGATTGCCTCTTGCATTTGATACTGCAGAGCAAAACAGGCCACTGCCTCCTCCTTGCAGAAAGCAGAACAGAGCTATTGTGTGGCTGTGGGTCCCTCTAAGTAGCCCAAGACATTAAAGTGGGTCTTTGTTTCAACTGTTTATCTTGGAAATCTCTTCGGGTGCGCTCTGACCTGCTCCAAGTATGCTTGGTATTTAACAACAACCTTCTCAATTAACCCTACCCTAATAAAGTCAGCCAGAGCTTCCCTGGACTGTAAGAGCTAAAGCTGCTGTGCTTGTTCTATACCTAGTGTGGTTCTGTAAGACAAATCATCTTTAATTGGACATTATTATCTTTGAGGTTCCAGTGACCTTGAAAAATTGGTTGTGGAGCAAAAATCTGTTTTGAGGAGTGCTTTTGGAGTCATCCCTCTGGCTTCTTTCACTAGTTCTGTATTTTTTTCAAAAACTTAGTTCTGAAATACAGAGTTCCACCGACCAAATTATCTAAAAATTAATAGGATTGGAAAAGCAAGAGCTTTTTGATAAACATCCTAATTCAAAGGAAAATAAAAGTGGGGATTTGCTACAGAAATTTCTTTAAGAAGAGAATGCACTTTGATATTGCTCAAGAGCACACAGTCCCTGCATCTACTGCCCTGTCCAGTGATCTTGATCTGCTGAAGGAAGGATGAAGTATACGTCAACCTGCTTCATGATGTGGGCATATCATTGACCAATAGCCCTCTGTCATGGATAGCACTGATTGTGTGGGCTAGCTCAAGGAAAGATAAAGCAGGAACACGATCTGCTATTCAGTTTGTGTATATCTGTGGCATCATTTGTCAGAGATTCTTGCAAATTTGCTGTATACTCAGACATAAGCAGAAACCAAAACAACTTCATTTCCCTATGCTTCCAAACTGAGCCAAGAGCACACAGTCTCTGCATCACTGCCCTGTCCAGTGATCTTGATCTGCTGAAGGAAGGATGAAGTACTGTAGGCTTGTTGACTAACCCTTTCTCCAGGATACGTGCCTTCAGGAATTTAATGCAGTTAAAGCATCCTTTGTGAACACTGTGTTATGTTCCTCATCACTGCAAAGAGTAAATGGTGGGGCAGAGCTCTGGGCAGGCAGCTGAGCAGCATCTCTGCCAGCTCCTCAATGCAGGGAATGCCAGTGAAGGGAGGGAGGGGCAGGAATGAGGGCCACATAGGTAAGACCTGGGGAAGGGCTAAGATTTGTCTGGAGTCTAACTAAACTAAAACCAAAATGGATATTGCTTCCTGTATGGATTTGGAAATGGACCACCAGTTCTTCTGCACTCTGCAATACGCCTATCAAATCATATGGTGCATAACACACAATCTGCTGAAGCAGAGTAATGTATTGGAATAACACTGTTTATTCAGGGTGACTTGAAAAATCCAGTGAGCTTTATTATTGTCAGTAGCACAAGTGGTGGTTTGTTCACAGATATTTATCCTGAGACTTCTTACTACAAGGATGGGCTTTGTGTTAAGATCTTTACCAACCTCAGCCATCTGAGATGAACCTTCCTACCTGAGGTGTCATTTGCTGACCAAAACTGGATTTAAAAAAAAAATACCTTCTAAATTCAGTCCCTACCAAAATAAAAAAAAAAATCCACAATTTTCCCCATGGCTGAAGGACTTGTGTGCTTGATTAACAACACCATCAATTCCAGACAAACAGGTCCATTTGGGACATACCAGGGTCAGGACAGAAACAAACAGACACCTTCTTCTTGTTGCTTAAGACTGAACCACAGCATGGGAAATCTGAAGTTACACTGAACTTCTGAGTGCTCCTCTCCTCACTCAGCAGTCTCCTTTCCTTGTACACAAATTTATATATCCTGGGTGCTGCATGTTCCATGGCTTTGGTTCTAGTTAAGATTTTCATAAACTCCAGGTTCAGGAAACTTTGTATTTAGGACTCTGGCTCACTCATTGTAAACTCAAACATTTATGAACTCCTAAATCAGTGTCCCACAGCATTTTCTCCTGTTTTCTGAAGCTATGAGCTCTATCCAAACAATAAAATAAAAATCCTAAGCTTCTGTCAGAAGGTGAGATAATTTCCTGCATTCTATAGCAGAGAAATCAGACAGCTGACATTTTAAAATTTTATTTTGAATTTATGGTTAATTTAATTCTATTTAATCAAGCAACTAGTTTATGACAACCTGCAGGATTCATAAATCACTAGGTCTGTTGTTATTTGGCTTAGTTGTACCACCATAATGGCAATGAAGGCTACAACTTAAGGCCTGAAATATCAGAATAAAAAAAAGAGAAGTAGTTGTAAATGTATAGTCCTAACTACTCCTTAGGTGCTACTCCACCCCTATTTAGAGTATAAAATCTGCATTGGGATTGGGTTCATGAGAGACACAAAAGCACTTCACAGACTGGGCTGCAAAGTGCAGAACTTCTAGATGGACAATTGAGTTTAGGATGCAAAATATTTCTTCCCACACAAATTCCTGAAACCCCTCTAGTTGTTAGAGAAGAAAATCCACAGACCACTGGCAACTTGAGAAAACAAACATGAAAACTCACATCAAGTATTTCCTTGTTGGCTTTTGGTGATGTAGCCTCTCTCAACTCTTTAATGGCAACAGGAATTTTAACCTTCTCTCCTTCTGGGATCCAAAGTCCCTACCAAAAAGAAATACAGAGAGTTATTCAGTCTCATACCTAACAGGTTAATTCTCACAATTACATATATATTTTACATCTTCTGAGTAGACTTAAATATTCTGAGCAATAGAAAGACATGGCAGACAACAAAAGTATGCAAAAAAATGTGTCTTGTGGGCATTACCAAATTCCTGTTAATGGGATGGTACTTCTTTTTCAGTCACCTCTACCATACTTTCTTGAAAAAACATGTTCATTATTATGCCTCTGTAAGTAGCCCAAGAGATGCATAAAGAGCAACGTTTGTGGAAGGAAATCTAACTAATTAGAGCTTCACAGCAACTACATGTGCAAAACCTTGCCACTTTCAATTTATAAATCACGGGATGAAAATAATTAGCATTTTCTCATTAAAACCAAATGGCACCTGTGCTGTACAAATAATCCAGCCAAACACACGCAGTGGTAGGGAAGTCTGTGTTCCACTGGTGCAGTGCTCTACATCTGAATTGTCAGGAGGCCATTTAGGTGGCAGGTTAGCAGTGTGGCACTGGGAGGACGTGCTCCTGAAACCCCCAGCAGTGCAGGTCCACATCTTTTTGTGCCCCTGAAGTTCCTAATCATAGCTGGAAGCCTGATTCAGAATATAGAGCTTTATAAAGAAATATGGGAATCTACAGTTAATGGAAAAGCCTGAAACACATATCCTGAATAAAAGGAGGAACCTAATGAAGAAGCACAGAGGATAAACAAACACCACGAGAAAAAATAACTTGTGAACCTACACAGCTGAAGGTGTGCAGACACTTTCACACATCTGAATCAGTTCTAATGAAAGAATGATTGAACGTTATAAAAAGAAGATCCCAGATGACACAGAAAAATGGTTTTGCACTGAGCTGACCACAATTCTTTTTCTTCTTAATATTTACAGTGGGGTGTATCTGACTATGGTCATGATCTTTGTTCTCCAGGTTCAGCAGTATGACTTTGGCAACATTTTATGTAAACCTGCTCCTGTTAGCCAATTTCTAACAAAACAAATGGTGATTGAATAATCTCTCTACCCTTCAATGGATAGATACATGCTGTAAAATCTGGTTTAAAGAAAAAAATCTACACAATGATTGAAGCTCCCAATTCTTGCTTTGTTTGGGTGGCTTCTGCAGGAGGGTGCAGGATGAAAAGGGAATAGAAAAACAATGATCTTACCTTATAAACAGTGCCAAAAGCTCCAGAGCCTAAAACTTTGACCTTTTTAAATTCTGTTTCTTTTAGAATTCTCAGATGAGCCTGGTTTGGTGCCTCTCCACTCGGTGTCAATGGTTCAACAAGCTGGTGCAGAGAGAAGATGATATTAGAAGGTTACACAGTCTGGAAGGTTGAACACTTTGGGGAAGCAAATAAATCCTTCATTTAAAATAATGAACATTTGATTCCATGTGAAGTTTTTGGGAGGATAGCTCTGCTTTGACTTGCAGGAATAAATACCTGCTCCAAAAATCAAGCACGGAGTGGCAGCTGCCATTTTGAAGGAGAATGAAGGGATACCTCTTCTCAAATGGAGGCTATGACTTCAAAGCCTTGAAACATATAGCATGAAAAATCATGTAATTACCACAGATGCTAAAGGAGATTATTTTTGTTTTGAACTTGTGAATAAATTATTAAAATGTTTAAAATAATGGGCAAGAATCACCTGGAACCTTTCATGTCTGCTCTTGTTTAACTGGATAAAATTCCCAGGGTACCAGCGGTTCCCTCAGATCACGCAGTGTACAAGCAGCAATTGAAACTCTGACAGTGGTTCTTTCCTCCAAAAAAAGGATGTTGAATTGCCTATTGATTTTTTCAAAATTTTATCTAAGCCTTATTGCAAACAGTGGTAATGCCCTCCAAAGATATTTAATTATTTTATGATGCATAAGTCAGCTTTTTCCTCAGTGTTTTTCGTTTTGCTTTTTCTTCAAATGAAACCATATTTAACTAGATTCAATCTGATTTTAGAGGACCAGCACCCTCTCAGTTGTGATGAAATATCCTCATTTTGAGGAGTCCAGAGGGTACGATATGAGCTGAGCAGAAATTGAACTCTACTATCACAACTGCAGAATACAGCAGTATGTAAAATATAGTTTCATAGTGCAATGAAAAACAAGCCAGCTTATCTTTTTCTTCTTTTTTTTTTAAAGGATATTAGCAGCTGACTCTGCAAAGCTGGCAAGTACAGAAAGAAGCTACAATTGGAATTTTAGCAGAATGTTAAAAACAATTGGCTAATTTACTAGAACCATACTAGAAAGAGAAGGGGGCTAACCACAAAAGAGCAGCTTCCACCCAGGATTAGGAATTTTGCTGTATATGAGGTATCCAGAGGGTGATGCTGTAATGCACACAAAAACAAAGAGCAGTTCAGAAACCTTGTTCATGCCCAACAGGGTGAACCATTCACTTTGATGGCTTTGTGGGCTTTTTGTGCTAAAAACAAACCAAAGACAAGACACAAACACTTCCTCAATTCCTTTCCCTCCTCTCCATTTTTTTCCACAGGATCAAGGGGGAAATACTTTCAAAAGCACCCCAAGCTGCCAGAGGAGCCCCAAGGCTTGTCTGGAGGGACACACAATTTGAGGTTGAAGGTCTACACAGGAAGGTAGTACAGATCAGCAAACACATTGCACCTCAACCTGAAGGTGTAGTTTTTTCTGGGCAGACAATCTCAATGACTTTTCTTGGGACTGAGACATCCAAATCCCTTAAATATTTTGCAAATTATACACAGAGGGATCAGATTTGAGATTGGGAAGATGTTAGGTGCATGCCGCTCCTTTCCTGAGTGGCATGGCAACCACCTCGTTCCCCATCCCAGGGGATGGCTGAGCTACAAGGGTGCAGGACACAGATACAGGGTGCTTTAATCCTCTGGCACAAGGAGCAGGACCCCGGTGGGCCAGAAGGAGCAGGGTGCTGGCAGTGCTCACCTCCCTCTCCTGCAGCAGGCGGCGCAGTGTGCGCTTCCGGACGATGTGGCGTCTGCGCAGGTACAGGCCGATGCCCAGGCCCACCACCACCAGGCACAGGAGCCCTCCCACAACACCCGCTGCGATGGACGGGATCTTGGAGCTGCAGCACAGCAGGGCACACAGGAAGAGAAAAAGATTCTTAGGTGTTAGACTTTAAAGAAGCCCTAGAGAGGTTGAAGGAAGCCTTATGTTTTGATCAGACTCTGGATGCCCACATAAGCCTATTTGACATTTCAGATTTCTTGGGCACCTATATTTCTAAGTTCCTCATCCAGTAATCTGTCCAAAGTGGTGCTTAATTTCCATCAGAACTTCAACCACAAGTCTTCATTCTTCCCTCAAACTCATAATTGGAACTGATCCTCATAGCTTAACTGAGGGGATTTCTTCTCCCTCCAACAAACCCACCTCTCGGGATCTTTTGGTGGTTGCTGCGACCCCGAGAGATGTTAAAAGTCTCTTTTCCCAGCCCAAGTGCTTGAAGAATGAGTTGGAGCTCTTCAGTTCTCGGTCTCAAGGTTGCTTATTGCGTCTTATCTATAAAAAATTTTCTCCTGTCCTGCCGAGGTCTGTCCAGCAGGACAGTTCCAGGCACACTGCCTGCCCCCGGGGCGGTGTTATGTCTTTATACTACAAACTATGTGTACAATGTTTACAATGACTTTCCAATATCTATCACCTATGTTAGACAGTGAGCTTTTACTCTAGTGCCAACATCATAGCAGAAGATGGAGGCCAAGAAGAAGGAGAAGGGCTGGCCACGCCCAGATCCCTCCATCTTCCCTCCTGAACTCCCATTCTAGAAACCCCACAATCTACTTTTTCACCCCGTGATAACTTCACTATTATTCTACCTAAACTGTTGTAGCTTGCTAATCTTCATATAAGGTTGGTAATTTCCTCCAGGGGTCATAATCAAAACCACAGGTGTTTTATGCTCCGTGCCAGGGCTTCTGAGCCCCCTGGCAGGGGTCTTGGCCATCCTGCACAGCCAGAGGGATGTCCTGGGTTCCCACACCCACCAAGAACATGAGCATCAGATCTGTGATGCCTGTGTCTGCCAGCTGTGGGCAGCCCATGTGTGATCCGAGACATGAAGCATGTGGGGAGAAGGCCTCTTAGAAAGGCATCCACAGGTGTGATACCAACAATGCAGCTGATATCCCCCCATTATTGTGGGGCGAAGGGGGCATGCTGTAAGGGTCACAGTGAATGTCAGATCATCAGTCTTCCTTACAAGTACAAATGTCTAAAGCCAGGTGTTGTGTACCATTCCCACTGTACAGACAGACTGCTGCCTCTTTATTAAAGCTTGGGTGATTGCAAATTTAAGTTGAAAAGAAAAACCCGTTTTCTGAGGTTGTTTTTTGGTCTGTACTTAAAGATTCTTCCCAGCATTTTTCTAAGTTGCCCCAGGGATTACTATTAAATACAGTCACTTTTTAACAGTACTTCTGGGCTGAATTTATCTTGCCATGGCATGACTTTGTGGCCAGAAACTAAATCCCTCTCTCTCTCAGTCAGACTGTTTGCTTGTTGCATGACCTCGAGCACATCATGAAGCCAAGCAGTGTGATATAAGACCTAGTCTGAGTGTGATGAATGAGAATCCAACTGGACACACAGTATTTGGAGATGTTCAGATCACAGGGCTGGAAAAGACCCTCTGCATCTCTCAGTCTCCTGCAACACAGGTAACTATATCAATCCTAAATATAGCTCTCTCTGCCCTTAATCCTTCCTTTTTCCATCCCTTCCTTTTATTCTTCAGTAACAGATCCCTGGTCTCACCTTGATAAAAATTGTAGGCAGAACAAGATTTTGAAGTCTTGAACCAGTAGCAGTGTTTCTCAGTTCTTTAAACCATTTTTATAGCTCTGAGCCTGCTTTAATCTGTCACTTCCCTGTAAACAGCTGAAGACTTTAGTCCCAGCCTTGCAATGTCCACTGTGGAAATGTAAACACATACACACATTCCTTACATCTCTGCCATTAATTGTAGCAGATGAAATACTCACCCATTTGGACAGCCTTCAAGACCTGGCCCTTTGCACCTGTAAAAACAAATGAACATTACAAACATTGTAGCTCTGGCCTACATACTTCTGTAATTTCAACTAAGCAGAGAGCTACTGATTTGAAAATTTGTGTTTCAGAACAGTCCAAGTGTTAACATAGGAATTTATAATAGTCATACACTCCATTAAATATCAGTCAACAACCTTGCTCCAGAATCTTTTATCTAGAGAAATAGCTATGCTGCATACTCAGTTTAAAGAATGTTTTAAAACAATTTTTTGGCATGTGGTAGAAGGGGGGGAGGATATAGATACACAAAATTCATGGATTCCCTATCTCTTTGCAGAGCCCAGGGCTGAATGTGGAGGAGGGCAGAAGTGGCCTCCTCCTCCTACACAGACAGAAATACATGTGGAAACATGTAATTGCAGACCCTCCTGCATAATCCTTGTTTCCTGATAAGGTAAAGAACTCAATTTCCAGACTTTCTATTGCAATGGAAAACTGGGGTAGCAGATGCATGGACTTCCATCAAAAAATGGGACTTGACAGCACTGTCTTGGGCTACAGCTTGTTGGCATGTGTCCATGGTATTTTTCCTTTAGAATACAAAGTCTTATGTTACTGGTAATGTAAACAGGTACAATCATTACCCAGGGAGCCAGGAACTCTACTAGCAAGTCATTCACCCTCCATTTGAGTTTAAAATGCTCAAATTTTTGGCAGCGCAGTGCAAAAAAACCCCACAGATGAAAACAGTGACTGCGTTCACTTGATGGTCTAATGAGTGTGAGAGGCACAGTGCATTCCCCTAGTGCTGTTGTGCTGTAAGATGTATGCTCTTCATGGGAATTGTGGTCTTTGTGGTGTCTGCTGAGGAAGGAGAGCATTACTGAGAGGCTGACATCACCTCTAGAAAACAGAGCACAGAAAAGGACTAAAGTCCAGTTTGTGGTATCCGCTCCTTGCGCTGACTTAAAGAAAATGGATCATCCCAAAACAATTCCAGAGGAGGTCAAATAGGGGGTAAAAAGTGAGCCCATGCCAGGAAAACTGCTCTGGAATCCCTCTCACTGACAGAAGGAACCAAAAAAATTTCAAAATGCCAGGTAGAGTTGCAGATCTCCCATAACTTGGACTAGGTCTGGGGAAGGAAGAGGTGAAGCAACTACTCATTTTATTGGGTTTTAGTTTGTTTGTTTGTTTGTTTTCATTACTTGGATCTTCCCTTGTGTATTTGTCTTGTTTCTGGGCCAACACAGTGCTCCAAGACCCAGCATCTGGAAGGTCTTGTAAGTTCACTGGGCTCCCATGCAAGAATGTGCACCCTGGTGTCCTGGACATGCTGGAAGTGCTGTGCATACCAATTCCCGGATTCTGGGTCCTCAGCCTTGTTAGCTTTCCTACCAGCACACAGCTTGCTTTGTTTGCTCAGTTGTGTAACTAAGCACAGAGAGAGGCTGCACGTGCAGAGCAGGGCCACCAGCTTGCTAATCATCACAGGGGGCAGATCTTGCCTTGGGCTTCTCTCTTCAGGTGCTCAATGGAAAACTGATCTAGGACTCCAGATCTCATCCAGCCATCGTCTACCTCCTGAACATTAATTTCTAATGCAACAAAACATGTGACGCTGCTCTCGATAAAAATGAGAAATTAGAAGACCTCACCTAATTTCACACTATCACTTCTGTCCCTCAAAGTATCTCCTTCTCAAAATTCTGGTTTGCCATGCTACTTTAAGACGGCAAATTCTCTATGTGCTTCCTAAGAGCAAACAAAACTGACTGAGGGGATTGTAGCTACAGTCTGAGGAATGACTGACCCATTCCTCTCTTACACATCAAAGTAGAGGCAGGAGAACTGTAGATTTTTTTATCAGTTCCCTTCCTTTTCCCACACAAATCCATCAATATCAAGCATTGTAGGATAAAGTAAAAAGGTGTTTGGAAAGAAATAGAGAGATCAGCTTGTGCTTTTCAAATCCCACTTGGTTTTCTGATTAATTTCACAAGTCAGAGAAGAAACAAAGTCCATAAGAATTATCCCTCCAGGACTATATATAACTATCTTTCTTGTGGAATTTTATGATGACACCCTCCATAAGTAACCCAGATTTTATGGAATCTAAACAATCACGTTTTCCATTCCTGAGTAATTTTTCTTCTGCTTACGGAAACCAAAATGACAAATGTGACCTTATGTTATGAAGTAACTCAAGATCGTATGGATATATGAGATGAATATAACAGCAGTTGTAGTCTTTGATATATTTCTCTACTTATTGGAAAATTAGTTCTGTGTACAGCTCCTGAAAACTACTTCATCCTGAACTGCACATTTTACCTGTCTATGTAAATATTACTGGTCCCTGTGCAGACACAGCTGTTTATTTCCTAAATCCATCCAGGTTTTAACAAGTTTCTCCTTGACCTATAGTTCCTAATTTGATGTAATAGAGTCAAGTTGTTATGATTTATGGCCTTTCAGAGGAGACTCACACTATAACAGCCTAAGTTACTTCACAATCATAAAAGAAATGGAAAACCATTTTTAAGTCTTTTTAAACTTTAGAAAAATTGTATTTTGTCCTTTCTTTCTAAGTAACCTTGCAAGAGTGACAAAGGCATAGAATTTGTGCTGTGCTTCTGCATCCTTCCCTCTCAGATCCCCTGGCCACTTTCTCATTTCCCCCCAAAATCCCCTATCATTTAAAATGAAGACTGGTGAAACACAGTGTTGATAGCAACTGTGGATGGAGGCAGGATGTGCCAGCCAGTGGTACTGGCTACAGTGCTGGCTTCTTCTCTTCCTTGCTTATCCACTCCAGTGGCTGTGTCTGAGTTTATTTCCTGTACTCTATGAGACTGGCAAGGGAAAACCAAATCCTTCAACACTGACCAGATTAATTAAGATGATGGGTGTCTTTAACTGATGAGCATATGGGGTAATTCCAGGGCTTTTGAGATGCTGCTTTCTTTATTGTAGCATATAATTCTCAGCTGTACTTGAGGCAGGGCAAAAGGAAGCTCGTGTACAAAATTCCCAAGAGAATACAGGAGAATTGAGAGAAGGGGTCTTTTGGGAAAAGCAGGAGAAAGCATCCTTCATTCTGTTTCCTAATGAAGGCTGAAAAATGGACTCAGCAAAGAAAATGAGACTCAAAGGGATTTTTCATGGCATTGCAAAAGAAGCAATGTACAACCAGTACGCATACCTAAAGTGAGAAAATGAAATTCCTGACAAAACTCAGCTGGGAAGAGAAGTCTTTTAGTCGAATGTTCTTCAAATAAGGAAAACAGAGAGAGATCCTGGGAACCCTTGCTTGCATGATGACTGAAGTCAGCACACTTAATCATGCTGATAAGATTTTGTGGGCTCTAGCCGTGAAATTGGACAGGGACAGAAATGAAGTTGTTTCTTGTCATGCAGGAATTGCTGAGACTGTGGTTTCTAAGGATGCAAAAGCTTTGTGAGACAGATGTTTTCCACCCACTGCTGAACAGATCCATTCCCACAGCAAAATGAGGGAAAGGCGTGAAGAGAAATGGCCTTGCTGATGGATTGCCTTCAGAGGGACAATGCTGTGCCTGACTGCATGTTCCCATATTATAACCCTGACACTGGCTCCCTACTCATCCATGGCCACAGATGTCTCATCTGTATAGCAAATATTGCAGCACTACCTCCTTCTAGCTCTCTTGAGCCCTTCAGGGACACAGCCTATTTCATCTGCCACATTTGGGCATCAATTTGACTTGGGCTATTGAGCATGTTCACAATGTAACTGATGCAAACTCAACCCGGCTCTTTCATGAGAAAGATGAAATTGATACTACTTTTTATGTTCTGCCTTAATAACACAGGGCCAAATACACTGAGGCATATGTTGGGGAAACCTCATTTTTAAAAAGTCTCCTTACTGTAACCTCATCTCCTGCCTGACTCTTGTGGTTCCCCCATCCATCGCTAAAGCAAGGCAGGAATTGACTTCTCTGACCAATTCTGCTTGGGGAACTTGCTTGTGCACCAAGAGCCACTGTGTGGCTTATTTTACATCCCTGTCTGGCAAATTATGTTCTCCAAATCTGCATTAGAGTCTAGTGTTTGATCTCACTAAGGCTGCACAGTGAAAAAAAGCCTTTTTCAGATGTGGTTACTCATTACATTATTCCACTAATCAGCTGCATTTCCATGTGGCCAGTTAGAAGGAGGATATCAGACCACTGTGGCCAGTTTGTATCAGTAGGGACTACTGAAGTAATTAATAAAGAGCTTAATTATGATCCCTTTTCAACTGAGGAAATTTCTTCCTGAGCTTGCAGTGGGAAGCCCTGATCAGCCTTGTGTGTGACTATAGGAAAAGCAAGGGCCATAGCTGTAAATCGTGGCAAATCCAGCAGGCTGGTATAACTACTGTCTGAAATCCATTGCACTGAATTTCACTATGAGCACTGGAAAGGGCTGTTACTTGTCCTCCGATGAAGGGAGTGATTCCACCCTTCATCTCCTTTTTCCCATGAAGGTGGGGAACTGGCAGTTGGATTAGCTAATATACATTGTGATGGTTGGTTTGCACGTGTTACAATTCTTCTCTCACAACATTTATTATAGGCATATTATAGAAAGATTTTGGATCAGACAAATTTGCAGGGTAAAAAGCAGAGGCCTGTGAAGGAAAATACATCAAACATGGGCTGGCTTTTTATTCTGGAAACATCACAGTCCAATAACCAGCTCTCAAACCCTAAAACCTTTTCCTGTGCATCCCTTGTCTTTTGTAGGTTGGAAATCAGGAGAGGAGACCATTATTACTTGGGATGTAGATTAAACAGATCAATTCACAACTTGTTACTGGTTGCAGTTTAAGCTGTCGCCAAATGAGGAAAAAATGGCTCATATAGATTGCATTTACTGTGACTTCTGTTAAAAAACCCACACTCACAAGGCTTTAAAATCAGACCAAGTGCTAGCATATGGAAAGAAGGAAAAAAAAGAAAATCACTGTGTTATCCCACTGGGATTTCCCTCCTGAAAGTTGAAAGGTGCACAGAAAAATGGGCCCTGGGAACCCAGCATCCACCAGATGTCACTGATGTTCCTCTCAAAAGCAGAGGACACAGCAACAAGCCAGGTGGGAGAAAAAGGGTGCATCACTGGTGGTTGAGTCCTGTAAAATTCTTTCAAGTTATCAAACAAACCTGTTTCAAGCCCCTTAAACTATTTTTTTCATTTCCTTCTGCATAAAGTACCACTGACCTTTTCCTACTTACAAAGTTTGCCACACTCTGCTTTCATTAACTATGCTCTCCTGACCTCTCTGGCTCCCTGCTAGTTCTCAGTGGCTTGACATGGGACCATCAGGAGGAGAAAGAGCTCAAGACAATCTGTTTCTCTTTTTTTTTTCTCCCCTGTCACGATTCAGCCCCAAGTTTTACTCACCCCCGGGTGCAGTTTGGATGGCAGAGCTGGCAAACATTATTCGCATCAGCATATTTCCAGACCAGGGTGTCATTCTCACCCAGAACCCCTGCTGGGCAGGACTTCACACAGTGGGGGCCATCTATAAAGTGGGCACACTTCATGCAATTGTCAGGGCCCTGCAGAGAGAAACAACTTGTTTATTACACCCTTACGTTCAGGAGGAAATTCAGAAGATAAATCTAAATGCCTTTTATTGCTGGAAGTTTTCAGCATTGTCTGGTTTTATTACCTTGCTACCTGATATTCTTGCAAGCAATTGCTCTTGCAGGATGGACCATACAAAAGACAGTTCCTGTTGCTTAAAGCTAATATTTTATTGCATTGCAATGCTGCTTCTTTTTCACCTCTGCTTTCTGTCTGGCTGGAAAACGTGTGTTTTGCATTTTAAATGGGGAAGAATTTAATGACACCTTGATAAGGGGTCAGCTGAAAAGCAGACAGCTTGGTTGCTACCTGGTGCAGTCTCCTGTCACATAATTTAAAGCTGTGGATATAGACCTCCTGATACCTCCTTGAAAAACTGGAATCAAATCATTATTTTTCTGGTTTCTCAGCACAGGTTCTTTCCTCTGTTAGGAAGAAGCATAGGATGATGAAGGCAACCCAAGGAGTCCATGCTTTTTTTTTTTTGTTCCACTTTGAAAAGCACTTAATTTGTATTTGGTATTTAAAGGCATTGCCTTCAGCCATTTTTGGCAGAACTGTTTTTATTAAGATTGTAACAGCATCACGAATGACCTAAATATTTTAAAGCCGGGGAACCAGCAATTGTGGGTCAAATTCTACTGTGGAGAAAAATCAGACCAGATCCATAGTGCTGGTTGCAGTGGGACAAAAGTAAGACACGTTATGGGAAGATTATTTTAATCACTATAATGTCCAAGGGCCACTATAATGGACTGATTACTAGATGCTAGGCAAATATGGAACAGGAGGTCAGTGCCTGAAGGAGTTTATAATGTAAATAACATCCTTGAGGCCATGGTGCTAGGAGAGAGGATGCAAATGCTTCACATTACTGAGCAGTGACTGCTCAAACTGATGATGGGTGTCCTTGTTCTTGACAGGACAGGGTTAATTTTTGCAGCAGCCAGGAGGGGCATGGCTAGGACATGGGGGCTATTCTGTACCACATCATGTATACATCCTTCCCCCAGGGGCAGACGGAAGGAGTTTCTTCTGAGGAGAAGGGGTTCTTTCTGGTTGAGCAATCATGACAGAGGGACCAGTGGGGTAATGCTGGTTCTGAGCAATTACGTGAGTATCCTTCATCTTTCTTGTACACTGTTACTAATGTTGCTGCTGTTACTGCTCCCTTCCTTATCTCATTGCTGTTTCCAGTAAATTGCTCTTATCTCAACCCATGATTTTCCCCTCTCATGTTCTCCTCCAATTCTCCTCTCCAGCCTGCCACAGGGGAAGGGGGAAGGGAGTGAGTGAGTGGCTTGTCATTTGGAGAGTCTCAGTGGGAGTACTAAGTTAGGGAGTTCCTAAACCACAACAGTGAGCAAGGGTCAAACACTCAGACAGGGTCAAACACTGCTGGTGGTGGCAAGAGGTGCTTAAAGAGTTGGGCTAAATACCACAGAGGTGGACCTGTGATGGAAGCAAGAGATCTGATCTCAAAAGAAAAAAAAAAGAGAACTGGACTTCTGCAATTAAGATCTGAGTTTGATCTAAGGGTTCACACCAACTTGGAAGTTGAGTGGTTACACATTACTCAAATTTTTGCCATATTTGCCAAAGTAAGTATTTTTCAAAAAATACAAATTTTAGTATTTTAAAAAATATTAAGGACTCTACAATGTCTGTAACTCTGGATTACCTGTCAGAAAATAGACCTAACACCCTGAAGTTTCCTATCCTGCTCCCTTGCCCCAAGATCTTGACTTCTAACCACCCCCATTTTCTGCTTCACCTCAAATAGGGTTAAAATGAGACCTCAGGATTATCTGACCATGGGAAATACAGATTAATATGTGATCTGGGGCTCAGGTTTGCTAAGATGAATCTGCTCTTACAGGTCCAGTGCAGGTTGCATTGTACAGGGTGGAGTTTTGCACCAGGCACTCAGGGTGGCAGGGGAGGCACTTGGAGTCCTTTTCAAACTCTCTTGGCTCCCTGGAAAACAACAACAAACAAAGAGAAAAAATTAAACCTTAGAAATAATAGCAAGTGATAAATTGTGGTCTTCTCTCCTTTTCCAGACTTTTCCACATTAGACTGAGATGATGATGGTACTGAGACAGGATGAGAGACCCTCTTGGCTACACCAGTAGCACTTGCTCAGTACAATCAGGAGGATGTAAGAGTAAGGGAAATTTGGTTGACAGTGAAACACATGGCACTCCAGATTGCACACTACAAATTAGTTTACTTTCCCTTTGAAGCTAATGTCACAGAATACTCACAACCATTTCTAGAGGCTTTTAAATGGTAGTGATGCAAAGAGATCAGCAAAAACAGTTCAAGTGATTCCAAGGCTACAAATAATAATTAGGAAAGTTAAACAGCAAGGCACTGATAATTAAATTCATGTCCTCTCTACAACACACAATGAATCATTAAAATATGAAAGTTGGGAACAGATGGTTTTAATAGCAATAAAGCTGTTCCACTTCAAGTAATGGTGTTATTAATTAAACTAAATCTACCCATCATTTGACACAAAATAATGCCCTGATCTGCCCTTCAGGTTATAATAGCTGCTAGAGGGAATTCACTCAAAAAAAAAAGACAGCTGCTAAACTGCAAACCACTAGAGAAATACAAACATCAGAGGCATTAGCACCCTGACAAGTACTTGCTCAATACTCAGGAGCTTTAAAAGTCAGACTTTGTAATTTTGCTGCTAGACATGCCTTTTCCACCTACATCACCTGTTGAATTGACACACAAGGCAGCAATATTTTTTCCATGTCCTGAGTGAGGCTGAGGCAACAATTTTGTCTGAAATTGCTGCTCTCAGTCATTTTCAGATGAAAGTTCATTATCCCTTCAACTTTGCAAACTGCAAGGGTGAGCTACTCATCTGAGCAAATATAAGAGGAAAGAAATCTACCAAGCAGTGAAGCCCTGGCTCTGGGGATGACTGAGCTCCCAGAGATTCTAAATGGCTCTGGCTCTCAAGTGTACTTGACAGCCACAGATTGAGCTTTAAACTCCTCCAGATAGTCTCCTTGTGGGCTTAAGGGGATGTTTTCTTAGCAGTCACCATGTCAGGAGCAAACTCCTAAGCAATACTGAATAGGGAAAGAGAGGTACCTTAGCTAGGTATTGTGTTCACACAGCATTTCTGCAAATTGGGGCAATCCCATGCAACCAGAGATCCATCTTCTTGCTTTCTTTCTAGCTACAACACATTCTAAAAACCAAAACCCCCAGACCATCACCAAAACCTAAAGCACCCCTGAGACACCTTACCCTTGCAGGATGTTGCACTGTTTCACACATTCCTTCTGACGATCAAAAAACCTGCAGGAGAAGCAGTGGAAGGGCCCTGGGCCCCAGCAGCCTACATCTGAGCACAGGGGGTCACAAACATGCTTGGCAGCAGCTGAGAGAGACAGAGGGACAAGAAAAGACATGAATGTCAAGGAGGTAAGAGAGAGGTCAAACTCTCCATTCTCACTCCAGCTGACCAACCCATTTCCCCAGCCTGTTCCAAAGCAGATATGAATGGTTCTGGTAGAGTGGAAGAGGAGTAATCACTCTTCTCTAAATCCCAAAGCCTGAAATTGAGTGATTTCTGGCCATTCAAAATAAGAATGATATCCTCTGTGACAGCTTAACAGATGTATAATAAAGTTAAGTCAGGCTGAGGGAGCTGGGGATGTCCACCGTGGGGAAAAGACAGCTCTGGAGAAACATTATTGGGGCTTTTTTGTACTTATAACAACTTTTTAACAAGGCCTGTAGTGACAGGACAAGGGGAAATGGTTTTAAACAGAAAGAGTAGATAGATTTATGGATACAATGAAGACATAGTTACAAAGTGGTGAGACACTGAGTTGCATAGGGAATTGGTGGATGCCTAATCCCTCAAAGTTCAGGGTCAGATTGGATGGGGCCCTGAGCAACCTGGTCTAGTGAGAGACATCACTGCCCACAGCACAGGGCCTACGTGACCTTTAAAGGCCCCTTCTCACTCGAACAATTCTGTATTTTTATGACAAATTTCTAAAATACAACAAATTCATATTCTGCAAAAAGATTTTGGCCCAGGGAGCACTGCAGTCAATAGCAGTATGGTTGAACAACAGCTTCAACCTTGTTAAAAAAGGCCAGGTTTAGGAGTTAGCTTTTGTATCCTTCAAGTGATGTGGCTTCACTATATTCATAGTACTGAAGAAGCTCCTGATTTGCTGGACACCACAAAGTCCACATTTTGGTGGGAAGAAAAAAAAATCCCTCTCTTCCCTCACCACTTTCATTAAAGCAGTGTCACTGATGAATTTTGTAGCCATAGGAACATGGAGAAAAAAGCCTTGCTTTTTCAATCATGAAAATGCAAGCTTACTTTTGAATTTCAGCATGAGCTTTGATGGTGAGCAGGAATGCAGCACTCACTTACCACACTCTTTTTTATCCCTGTTCTGTAAAATCTTCGTTTTCTGGCTCTCAGTTGCAAACAGGCTGTACCAGTCCATAGTGTCAGCATAGCAGAGGTTCTTGTTCCTCATAATGGCAACATCTCCATCACTTATTTCCTTGAGGGAGCGCAGCCCTAGGGACTGTATTTTCAAGTTAACAACAGCAAGGGAATACTGGCCACTAAAATGGAGAGGGACAAATAGAAAAAACATGGAAGAAAGGTAATTAGTAAGCAGGATGTACTCAGCATGTTTTTCTTCTAGTTGTCAAATGCATCCTGCTGTGTACCGCATTTTCATCAAGCAAGGTTATGCTCAGCCTTCTAAACTTAATGCCACATACATGCCATGCCTATTATGTAGCAACTGCAATACTCACATCTGGTTTTGCAAGGGTTTTTTAAGCTAAAACTGTCAGGACACACGTGTTCTGACAAGTAAATGAAGTGGAACAATGGTTGTAGGTAAAGCAGTTATTACTTTGTGCTTGTCCACCAAGTCACTCTTCCCTCTGGGGCAAGCCTAGGAGGGCACTTGGAAGCATTGCTGATGTCTGCACTGCTTGGCAGCCTCCATCCACGACTGCCCAGCTACCTCAAATCCCATAGTGTTCCTGATCACATCATGACTTACCCCAGACTGTAAAGAGCATTTTCTGTCCTGCTTGTGCTTGCAGGATGGTGGGGGAAACCCTGGTCCTGAACGCAGGCTGAGGGCAGCCCTCCATACACGGCACAGAGCTGAGGGTCTTCTCTCCCAGGGCACATTATCTATGCTACAGAGATGGTGCTCTACTCCTTGCAGGGTTTGCCCCATTTTGCATCAGTTTTGGGACACCTGAGTCTCACACTGCTTGCAACCTTGGTGTGCTCAGACAAGAGCAGCCTGAAACAGGGTTTCTCTTAGAGTGGCTGTGGCACATGATTTACTTACTGCTGCTTTGTTCTGCCTCGTATAATCTCCAGATTTTCGAAAGCGTAGAGATCAGTAGCATTCTCAGGCCAGGCTTGAATCAACAAAAATCCTGCAAGAGGAAAAGAAGATTAAAAAATAACCATAATGGAAATAAACTCACCGTTAGTACTGGCAGCAGAACCTTCTTCTGTAGCAAATCCTGCACCAGGAGAAGGCACTTGTACTTTCCCTATGCTTATCTGAAGGACCATCTCAAAGTCTAACATGACATTTTAGGGAGCAAGGAGATATTTTTAAACCCTGTTTAATAAACAGTTTACTTCTTAGCCCACCATGAGGGCTTAGGAGTGCAACAGAGCGTGTTGGTGAGCCACACATCCTGCCACACCGAGTCACCAGCAATGATAGCTCCTGCCAGCAGATACCCTGGCTGAGAGGCTGCAGGCTCTGGATCTGTGGGAGAAATGCAGCGCCCCATCCCGTTTTTCAGCTGACCTCAGGGAAGAGGGAAACTGAAAAGCAGGAACAGAGCAGAATAGCTACTTGTAGGGGATTTTCTGAGGCAAACAGAATTCCCCACTCAGCTGAGGTGCTTGGGAGGAAGGGGAGAATTTGGAAAATTGCAGGCTGCTGTATGAAGCTCTGCAGTTAGTCATTGCTACCCTGAAGGGAGCCACACAGGTGAGAGAGAAACAAAAGGAGAACTGGAGTCATGCCTGTAGACCCAGCCCCAATGTTACATTCATTGCATAATGGGCTGAACACAATTACTTTTAATTGATACTTGGTGCAAGACGGTGGCTGAGTGCTCCGCTGGCTGCCTTGTGCTCATGGAGACACATTCACCCCAAGGAAGAGCTCATCAGGCTGGAGAGGGTGTCTCCATAAGGATGACGCAAGCCCCTGAGCACACTTCCCTAAGGAGCTGCTGAAAGGTTTTCCACAAATAGAAACACACTTGGCTTTTTTTAGCTGGAGTGGCACGCCTCTGCATCACCACATGCTTCTTGGGTGGCTGAGGATCTCCACTGCTTTTACTCTTCTCTAGGGCTGACAGTTCAGCAGAAGGGATGATCTGGCCAAACCACACACCTTGGATGGAAGACCACTATGGGTTATGTGGGCGTAATGCTGGCAATGTGCTGCTGACCACCTTGGTTAAGAGTGACCCTTGTTAGCTGAGAGACAAGAAACACTTTGCATGCACTTCTCTTCATGTGCTTAAAAAATTTCCCTCCTCCCCATTTGTGTTTTTGGCAGTATCAGTCAAAAAACACCTCAGCTTAAATTCACTGCTAACCTGATATTTCTTTGACTGTTTTGAAGACATCCAATTTCTTGGGATCCAAAGGTAGGGTCTTTGTGAAGGCATCACTGAAACAAACAGAATGAGAAATTGGGAAAAGAACAGCTTAGCCTGGATTTCCCCTAGCTTTTTCCTTTCAGTTCTTGTTGGCCAGCAGGTAACTCACCCTAGAAATGCAACTGGGAGAATGCTGACATCCCCATTGATCTTGGTACAGTTTTTGAAGGAGTCGATATTTGTGGCATTTATGGAGAGGATCCCTTTAAGTTCACCTATTCCAATACCATTGCACACTGTTAAAGGAGAGATACAAAAGTTAGGGGGGACAAAAGTGCAGCCCAGTCACATGGCAGGGTAAAAATGTGAAGGTGCTCCAAGTTCAGAAAGAATTCCCATATGGTCAAACCGACCACTCTAAGATGAGTTTCATAGGTCTTTTGCCTATTTTTGCTTTTCAGAAAGTGACACAGGATGACTGCTTCCTGCTTGCCCAGCTGTGCAGCTCTGGTCTGAGCATCTCTGCACACAGGCTCTGGCACATTCCCTGCTCTCTTTGTCCCATTTCCATTCCCCTTGATGAGACACAGGGAAGAACAAATGGAGGAGAAGGCTGACGTGCAAGATATACATGTACACAACACACAATTTTATCTACTGTACTTGTGGTGTATCCCTCCTGGAAAGCATGCTCCACAGTCATGCTTCCTGATCAAACCTCTTGTCACATCTCCAAACTATTACTGGACCTAATTTATATTGAATTTGCACTTAACTAAGATCAGAACTCCCTCCACTAGTAAGTTCTCTATCATCTCAAAGCTTCACTGGTTTATTCCATGCTTTTTTTACCTTTGCTGCATAGCCCATCACACTTTTTACACTTCCGAACACCATTTTCTTCCACTTCGTAAGTGTCAGCATTGCAGGAGCGAACGCAGGAGCCGTGGTCTGTCACCACATAGTTGTCTGGAGAAAAAGGATACAAAGGTGGCTGAAATACAAGAGGGATGCTTTGAGGGCCAGACAAGCACTTCAAGACTGGTAAGAAAAAAGGGACTTGAGCTTTTGGCACACTTAGGAAAGTACAGGCATTAACCATGATCATCACAAACATCATTTGAAGGTAGATGAACATACAGTGCTATCATCATTTTACAGGGAGAGGAATGGTCACAGAAGGATGAAACAACATTAAAGCCTTGATGGATTAAAAAATACAGAAATGGAACAGCAAGAAAGGAAAAGCAAGAATCTGTAGAGAAAACAAGGATCACAGGCCTTCAGATGGAGTGTTAAAATCAATTACTTTTTAAAAGTGTTAATTAAGAACCAGTTAAGAGTTAATAATACTCTGGTAACCCATACATTGATGCCATATAGCCATTGTTTTAGTGGTTTTTAGAAGATGCTTTTCTCTTCAGTATGCAGTAAATTTTCAGAAGTCAAAATGCAAAGATTGAAAACCAGGCAAGGTAATGGATGCAGACTGTTTCAAGAGGCTCACTTTGTCATTTGTTCCCACAGAAACTGAAGAGAACAATAGCTTTTTTACCTGACCACAACACAGAGGGGTGACATAGGACCCTTCCCCCTTTTCTCCATGCCCCACCTCCTCTGGGGCTGCAACCTGAAATGTACTTACGTGGACATTCCTTGACACAAGTGGCTCCGAAGCTGTATTTTCCTTCAGGGTTCACATCCATCTGGTAAGTGGTGGGGTTATACAGGACCAATGGGGGACACGTGTCCTTGCACGTAGCATCATCCCGAAACTTGCGGCACGCCTGTCATGGAACAACAGCACCCGTTAAACTGCCTTTTCCTTAAAAAGTGACAGTGATTTTACATCAGGTCTTCAAAACAGTCTGATGGCCTCCTCTGCTTTCTGCTTAGCTCTAATGGAAACCCCAAGCAGCTACAGGGATGATCCCTCAGGCTTTGAGGTTGAAAGGTTGCTTCAGGCTGGGTAAAGGAGTTCAGTATTTTTTTAAAAAGAAACCATGAGCCTTTCTTTTTCTGAGCAAGAAACCTTGGCACTCTGGTGGGGAGCTGCTGGGATTCACGTGGGAACAGGAGCAAATCTGCATGCCTTAGACAGAAAAATTTTCCCTTACAAGCAGCAACCAGATCAAGACAAACTGTACTTTTCTTGGCCAGTTTTTAATAACCTAAATCAAATCAAGTCCTTTCCTGCCAATTACTGACTTTTCTGGCTAAATATTAAACTCAAGCCATTATATTTGGCTGCAGGTAATGAACAATTTAGCAAGCATTTATGAAGGGCAAGTTGGTTCTTCCAATCTAAATCTGCATTAAATTAATAATGACTCCCTTTTTCCCTTTCTTCTCCCCTGGCTTTCCAGATGAGAAACAGTAACTGTGTGAGCCAGTAAGGGGATCATAGCCATCTTAAAAGAAAACCAGGAATAGAGGTAACAACAATAAAATCCAGGTTGGACAATTTCTGTGGTGATTACTGAGATGTCACTGAATTTTCAATGGAGTGTAGTGCAAACATGGGGAAGAGTTAAAACCACAGCATGCACCAAACCCCTGAAACTCTTGTGGAAAAGCAATGAGACCTTTATTCCCTAAAGAAGCTCCATTTGTTTCTTCTCTCTTCACTGCCCCAGGGCTCCCCAAATACAGTGCTTTTGTGGCAAGTCAAAAGCAGAAAGGGAAACCCGGATTTCACGCGTGAAGTTCGGTGAAATGCAAAGAAATGAAGATCCATCACTTCTTTACTTCCCTTACAAGTTCTTGCTTTGGTAAACCAAGATTACTAGTGCTAAGGACCACAAGGCAAAGCTGTGCTGGCCCAGATAACTGCTGCACCATGGGGGCAGCTGTGGGCCTGTTCATGTGGGGAAGTTGCCCACAGCAAACACTTGGATGCTCTGCAACAATACTTGGATGCTCTGCAACAATGCTGAGCTCACTGGGCAGTCAAAGGCACTAACACTGGTTTGGAACACACTAGGAAGGTCCATGGGCAGAGTCAGTAAACACCAGCCCAGGGTGCTGTGAAGGTCATGTCATCTTCCCTCCCAACAGCCACCCACGCAGGGAAGCCCTGGAGCACCCTCCAGGTCAGCATCTCTCAGGAGGCCTTCTGGGGCTGCAGAAGGCTAGAGGACATGCAGCTGAAAGCCCTGCTTGCTGTGTCAGGGACTGAGGCCATTGTGGTGGTGGTGCAGTGTCATTACCAGGCAGTCACTCTCCCGAGGCCCGGTGCAGCCCGCGGCGCACTGGTTGTGGCAGCAGTCGCTGGGCACCTTCCCCCTGCACCGACCGGAGCACTGCTGAGCACAGATGACTTTTGTTACTGGAAGATACAAGAAAAAATTAAAAACATCAGCTGTGCTTGCTGTAATGAGATCAAGAAATATGGAGAAAAGGTCTGGTGCAGGTTCTGTGCTAGATTTTCCTCATGGGACGTTCTGTCCTCATTTAAGGCCAAAGTTTGGGAGGGGTGAGAGCGAGTGTGGGTGGTGGTAAGAAGGGGTCATGTTCAGCCTGTAATTATCTTGGCTCTTATGAGGTGCTAAGAACTCTGATCCCAGCCAGGAAATATGTCCTGCTTAGAAAGAAGAACCCGGTTGCACCAATGCCTAGACCAAGCAAAACTGTGACAGAGTCATTGCATCTTATAGCTGGGCAACAGAGACATGGAGACATCTGTCTCCATTTCATTGAGAAAATTTACTATTATGGTGCTAACTTTGGGAAAAACAATGTGACAGAATTGCCAGGACTCTGTACTATAACTAGAAACTATACATTGTAGGGGTGGTGCTGTAAAACATCCCTTTAATGCACTAAAATATTTCCAAAATTTTCAGAGATAGGAGAGACTCACTCAGAAAGCAGATTTCATGCACACATTGAATTATTTTTCTTTAATGTTCAAATCCTTGGCCAAATTTTATCTTCATTACCAAACTCCCTCAGGGTTTGCACCAGTGTAACAACCCACAGGAAAGAGCTGGCCCTGGTCCAGCTTTTTGCAGAAAAGCAAAAACTGCCTGAAACCTTTTGTTGAGAATTGGGAAAGCTTCTTCATTTGAATATCAAAGCAAAGAAAAGGATCATCAGAACAATTTTTCAAAACCCCACAAATGAATGGCTAGCATGTTTTTGTACCAGAGACCCAAAATGAGATTGTTTGTTCTGTTAAAAAAAATAAAATTACTGATCCATGAAGCATGGCATAAGATGCCAGAAGAACCTGATGGCTACTCTGCATCATACAGCCTCCTGAGCATTTCAGCTGTGCACTGTGCTAACTGTTATCAACTTCACAGTTGGCACAAATGAGTTACAATAGTATCAGAAATTCCTGTAAGTCTGAAAACCATGGTTGTTAATTAACAGAAAATTATTTCAAAAAATAGCCAGCTACAGGGTATATAACAGTGATTTTTCAAAATCACATATTCCTTTTCCATTACACAGTTCTGTATCCAAACTGTATTATTTTATTTTTTCTTGTAGGCCTATAAGCAAGGTTGGATATTTTCAAGGAAACAGATTATTTCCACAGTATGCATTAGTTTCTCTGACAGCACCTCCTCCATTCAACTAGAAACGGGGGAATAAAAGGCATATTGTTCTACATGAACAGCATTTTGATACAATTTTTTCATAAGAATTAGCAGGGGAATAAAGCACCTCATCACTTTGATAACTATTGACTAGAGTTTCCTGCTGGAAACATACATTATATCAAACATTTTTACTTCATATAGAGTATCCCACGTTCATTTCCAGAAGAAAGAGACGTATCCCCCAAACTTTCCCATATATGGCAATGTGGGATACATTTTCAGTTGGCCAGAGTCTCAAATGCCTGGAGAGGTGAGCAAGAGCCCACAAAAGATTTTGTTTCATGCACTCCTGATTGCAGTGAGGGTTTGTAAATGCTGGAAGCTTGCAGAGCTGAGACCTGAGGTTTCGCAAGGTCCTGGGACAGCTGTGCAGCCTCAGCTGCAGGAACCAGCCCAGGAAGGGCTTTGTATGCACAGCCACTGTGCACCCCGAGAGCCAACCTGCAGAGCCAGCTGACAAAAACTGAAGCATGCTCTAAGTGAAGACAGGAAAGGTATACGCTCCTCTTTCCTCAGGCTCTAACTCATACAAATGTGGCGTGATATTTGCAGACAAAAATCTTAGGTTCAGGTGACTATTTGCAACGGAAAACTGAATGTAGGATATTGCTTCCATTTGCATTATGTCTAGATCAGCCATTTTTCTACCTGAACTTTTCACAAAATAAGACCCAGTGTATTTCTGCACTTTTTAGAGAAAAAAAAAAAAAAGCAGTGAAACAAATTGTCATGGTGTTCCTCCTCAACCTTTACTTAAGGAAAAATAAACTGTTGCAAAATCTCAGGCACTTGTAAATGGATGTTTCTGCTGCTCTCTTAGTATCAAGGAAGCATCCTACTTGCATAATTACAGTTATTTTTTCAGCAGACAGAAATGTAGTATGTATGTTAGAGCACACAAGGTATTTCTTAACTAATCTACAGGCTTACATGTCTGGCAGTTTTGTTCACCAGGGCCCCAACAGTGGTCTTCTGTGCAGTTCTGATGGCATTTGGGACCTAGAACACAAGAGAGAGTACAATATTCTGTAAACTAAGAAAATAACAATGTACAATGAACAACAGAAAACAATTACTTGATATTTCTTTCCTGATAAACCAGGGTAGGAAGCACCTACATAACAGTGCTCAAAAAATTTGAGACCTGAATTTGTTATCCTTTGTTCACCTCTGCTTTCCTACGTGCAGTTCTCCACCTCCACCCCTTTGAGCAAGCGAGCACAATACCCAGCCAGTCTAGCTTACGAAAGAGGAATATTTTTCCCAGGAACAGGAATCTCAGCTACTGCCCAGCTGGCCCTTCTGCTGGGGTTTTCATGCAATGGCAAGTCACCACTGGCTTGAAGTCAGGCATGTGCCAGCTGCTCACTACAGGCCACATGTAAATCAGTGTTTCTGAACAAGGCAGTTCTAAAAAGAAAACAAATCCAACTGGATTCACAGGCAACTGCCAGCTACTCTGACCACAACGTAATTTGACTTGTCTGCTTTGTGCCCTCCTCCCATCCTCTGCCAAAAATACTCCTTGTGCAGGACTATGCTGCAGTAGGATGATTTATGGAGAGGTGGGCAGGATGGACAGACGCCTTGCCTGACCTCGAGTGTTCAGTGCTGGGTTCTTTCCCAATCTTCCCTCCTTGCTCCGTTCTTCCTTTTTTCTCTTAATGACAAGCAAAGTCCCAGAGAAACAACTTACTTTAGAGTATGGCATCATTATTAAAGCCATAAAAGGCTGTCTTAGGAGATTAATGTGGAATTCACTACATTTAAAAGACATTTCCTACTCGAGTGCTTCTTCCCACTAACAGCATGTGATTCTCCTTCCCCCCATCAGCCATCAAATAGCTGAACAAATGCCAATACTTGTCCAAGAGTTGATTGATTTGGTGTGGGACCAAAGAACTTTATTTTTTTTAAGTTGAAAAGTTAAAGGTTAACATTTCTGTGGTGTTCAGAGCCAAACTCCTGTGCTGACATGTAGAGTTTGCAACTCCTTGATTACGCCAGGGCTCCATAGAAAAATAAGTCAACACAGAAGTTGGCTATTAGCTCAGGCAATTATGCAACTGGAAGAAGATAAAGAAAATATGTTTTCCTGCCAATTTATAGTGCCAGAAATGAAATGCTCAGAAATGAAAATAAACTCTCCTTTCTGTGAAATGACTGGGGATTTTATGAGGGACTCATAAGTCTGCAGGATTAGCTTGAGCCTGCTCTAAGCATATGCTGTACAAACTTTTAAATATCCCCTCATCTCCCTGTTGATCTGAAGTGTCAGATTTATCTACCTGTTTATTAATACTTTTGCCAGGGTAATGTGTGGAGCCCAAAACAGGAGAATTTTATGGCATTAATTGGGCCCTAGCTCTAAGAAGGCTTCAAGTAACTCCATGAAGCTCCCCATATGGTTTTTCTAGACCAGAGCCTTATGATGTAAACAGAAGATTGCTGGAAAGGAAATGAATGCACGTTTTTCTGAGCTGTCTTTCTGAGCTGAGCACATATGCAGAGTAGTGTCTTAAATCAAGAGGAACATTCCCAAGAACTTTGCTGAGCTGTGAGTTAAGGACCTAACCATCATGAAAAATTCTGTCTTAGGCCAATGGTGCAGAAATGAAAGCACTTCTCTTGGAACAGAGCTGGGTGGCCTTTGTTAGGAATTGTTGGACCAGGAACCCACTGCATGAAAGATGGGATGTTCATTTTACTCTCTGAAATGGAGGGGGGGAGGACAGCACTTTTCATAAGTTAATACTCACAAGAAGACAGGTTGCTTGCAAATTCAAGCACCGTGGGAGGTTTCTTGCTTGTGTCAATGATGTCATTCCAAAGAACAGTATCCATGTTGCACAGTTTGGGGTTGTTGCTGATTTTAACACCTCCATTGAGAATTTCTGTTAAAGAAAAAAAAAATTGCTAAGTGAAGCAAATCCTTATTTTGACCCAGAGACATCCCCAAAATCTCTCTGCTCTAAGGAAAGAGAAGTAAGTTACATCTTTCTCCACCTCAGTCACATGATACTGACAGAAAGGAAAAATCAGGGCATCAGACTCCTGATGGTGTAACTAACACCTGGATCAGACCAACAGGTTCTGCAGAGCCAGCTTTTCTTGGATGCCACCAAGATGCCACTATGTGTATTCTTCTGCCTGGTGCCACGTCTAGGGCCCACAGCAGTGAGCAGAGTAGGCACTGCTGGTGTGCCCAGCCAGAGACCATGTGAGACACACATAATAGCAGTTCCCACAGGGATCTAGCAGAAAATATCGATATGTATGCACTGCAATCAAATAATACAAATAATAAATGGATGTTTCTTTGCCAGTTTCAGGAACAAAGATGAATATTGATGAGTTTTCTTTGTCTTTTGCAGAAGACTGGCTAGCAGGAGAGCAATTAGAAAACTACATTCAGATCCTTGCTTCTAAAGCAGCTTTTGATGGCCCATGACTTTGAGAGGCAATCTCCAACAGATCTTGACACCAATAAGCTGACAGTTGGAGTTGGCTTTAGAGGTGCCTCCCCTCCTTGCCCGTGTCTCACCTGAAAGCCGCTTCATTGGCAGCTGCCGGAGTCCCTGGGTTTTATTCATGTGGTAGTTGGATAAAACAGCCAGGGCATAAGAGTTGTCATACAGCACATTGCCTCGGATGATCTGGAGGTTTTCCAGAGGAATGACATCCACCATGTTAAGGGCGATAAGCACGTAGCCTGCAACCTCCTGTATTGACTGAGAGAGCAACAGAAGAAACAAGATGCTTAATCCAGTACTCTTCAATAATGGCTTTCCTCCTCCCACTCCTCCACTGCACCATCTTTCAATTTTAAGGGATGAGAGACCCCCCAATCTCATTAAAAACAAAATAAATCCAAGAAGAAAAAGGGACTATGTGCAAAATCTTGGTGGGTAAGCATGTATAAACTCACCCTTTTAGCAGCTACCAGGGAGTCATTCCAAAGGTCCAGCACACCCCTGGTTCTGTCCCCAAGTAAGGGTAAGTGGGGCTGACTAGGGCATGCAGGAGAAAAGGACAAGCATGTATGAAATGGCAGCTAAGTGTGATGCTTCCTTGCCTAACCTTCAGCAGCTGGCAGCACACAGATGCCACCTGATTCAGGCTTTCACATGGTCTCTTCTGTGCCCCTTCCTGTGCTCATTAAAGTGACAGACTAGGCAACCTTCTCCTTCTTAAACAATTTATATCTTTACAGGAAAAAAAGACAAGTGGGGTACTGCTCCTGCATGTGGGTTTATTCCTGTCTTGCACTGTGAAACATATGCATTTCTATCCCCTACAAAAATCACTGCAAGTGAAAATCCTCCAGGCTACTAAGGATATTTTCCTTTTCTGTGAAGACTACCAGTAAATTTTCAAGAGACTCGTTATGTTCCTTGGAACCCTGAGCTCCCCAGTCAGGTTGTGTTTGGGAAACAAGAACGGCAATACCATCATATTTGTAACCCATATGTTCAAACCACAGATTTTTTGATATTGCTTGTTACTTGCTGGTGGAGAACCTGCAGGTCCCCATGTCAGCCATGGCTCCTCCCCATGCCATGGCTGTGTTTAAACATCCATCCTCGATTCACTCCCTCCTCAGCTTGCCTTAATTTGCCCATGAACTTGGGCACAAAACAAATGTTGAGATGGGAGTAGCCCATGTGTCAATCACAGGGTATTATCTTGAAGATCACTTCAAGAATCCATGTGGGAAGTTATTGCACAGGACTTGCCTGCCTGCCGAGGGTGTGAGCACTTCAGGCTGGAGAGACACTCACCACTATGGCAGGGGAAGGGACTGCAGTTTGGAGGGCAGGGAAAAGGCCTCCACACTTCACAATCTGCCACTCGCTTTGTGCTTTGCTTTGCCCAACAGCACCACAAAGCCTTTTGCTCTCTGAGAACTGAGATAATAGGTAAGGATGTAATTCTAATTATAAATGAGAATAAATCCATCTGCATGGCACCCAGCACAGTGCTTGAAAAGCTATTTCTCAGAGTACCTGATTTCTTTAGTAGGGTTGAGTGCATCCTGCAGCCTACAGGTATGCTTAGACTGCAGGCTGCGATTCCTCTGACCGTAACTAGCTATGTTTTTGGATCACCACAGAATTTTATCAGCAGCTGATCCTTTGCACTTAAAAAATGGGAGTAGGATTTTTTTGTAGCAGAGAAGACCTCATTGGCTATGAACACTAACCTTCAGGAAAGAGAGGTCACGATTGTGCTCCACATATGTAATCTCCAGGTTGCTGAGTACCACCTCACAATTGTTGTACATCCTCTGCAGGCTGGTGAAATGGTCTTCCACATGTCCCAGTTGGGTCAGCTTGTTGTTTGTCCCTTGACAAACTGTGGAGAAAAGGAGAAAGCTCCATGAAGGAAAGGAAGAATTAACTACAGGGCAAAGACTTGTTTCTCACTTATCTTTAAAAGCACTACAGTAAGTTAAGCATCAGCTTCATAAGAAACAAGAACATTAGCTGTCATGACTCCACTGGCAATAGTGTAGGAAGTATGCAGTGTTTCCCAGGGACAGAGATGTACCAGAATTCAGAGTTGGAATAACTGCCCATCACTGTCTGTTATAGAAAAGCTGCAATACAAGGTTTTTGTCCATAGGGAGCACTAAGTTCTGTGCATCACAGACATAACTCAGTTCCTGAAGAGAGGACATTGATACAGTTCCACTGAACACTACTGAAAATGGCATGTTGCCAGGTATCACCAAAAGTGATTTTCCTGAGGACCTATTTTACATTACTTTCAGGGGCATTGGGTCTCCTTGTAAGCTCAGAGGAAGGAAGGGGGGCTTCCTGAAGGACCCCTTAAGCTACAAACTCAGGTTTTAAGGTCTAACTGAACCTCCAGGGCTTACACATCTCTTGCCACTCTGACATTTTGGGAGTATGACAGATTTAGATTTTCTGGCATATTCATCTTTGGCACTCAAATCCACTTCTGCCTGGTGGGGAAGGAAGAGGTGTCACACAGAGCACCACTGAGATTTCAAATATTTATAACAGCACGATGGAAAAATTAATCCCCTCCTGACATTATATTACACTGCTTTATTAAATCTAGAGGAACTGAAAAAAGTTATCAAGATTGTAATTGATTGCAATGCATGAGCAAAATGCAAACTTGCTCTGAAGAAAAACACCAGACACAACCCTGAAAAATTCTGTACTCATACAGTCATTCCCTGTGCTATCCCTACAGGGGTCAAATGAGCACATCTCTCAGTTATGCTAATACAGAGAAAAGGAGAATTATACAGAAGACAATGTGGTAAAAAACTTCACAACCCCTTCCAGGGGCTCCTTCAGCTCCACTTTGCTCTTCAGTGGGAGCAGAAGCAGGCTGTTATCTCATTGTTTGCATAATGCAACCCCAGCCTGACTGCACAGCTTTCCATATTGAAAGAATTATATTGTTTTAACTTGGAGAAATGAATATATGAAATTACAGTTTTGTAGAGCCATAATTCACAGAAACACCAATCACAAACTGGAGTGCTGCAAAGCAAATAACAAAGACTCTTAAGAAAGCTGGAAATATGTTTCAGTTCTAGTAACAAAAGACAACACCTGTTGAAGATTTACCGAACAACTGATGCTTTATTAGTAGGAAAACCAGTGTAATGACACTGATAAAAACACACTTTACCAATCATCAAAACTATTCACTGAACATGTGGTACTTCTCAGTACAATCATCAGCATTAGGAGTTAGAGTGATAACAGATTAAATACTCTGGACCATGTTTAAAGCAAGGCTGTTCACTCACATTCCTTGTTATTTCTCATTACACATCTAGAGAAACATTATAGTGTTTGGAATCGGAGCGGCAACTGCTGGTAAATGGGAGCACTATGGCAGGCTGGGAGCACATCATCTAAGCTGCTTGACCCTTTTTATATATTTTGAATTTCTGAATTTCTTAACACTTGCTTTAGAAATTCTAAGTGGGATTTTCTGTTTTAGTTTCTGTTCCAGTTTCAAACTTCACTGTTGCATTGTGTTTATACTTCAAATCTGTACTTGATGTCTGCTTCAAGTACAAGGTCCCCAAATTATCAGAGTCATGTGTAGGTTTTAATTCTGCAGAGTGGTCACATTTTGAAAGTTAGAAGTACTGTCATATGCCTAATCTGCTCTGGAAAAAGTGTTGGTTGCTCTTGGGGACAGGGATGAAGAGTCTTTGAACTGACTGGAAAAGTCAAGGGGTCATCCCAGAGGACATCTTGAATTTTAAGCAATGTTATCCTAAAACCCAAGAAAAACCAGTAATTACAGATTCTCAGACTGTTCAAAACCTCAGCTTAGATGCTCTGTTTAGGCATCTCATATCTGATCTTTAGAACAGTGTGATTTTGGAAAGCGCTCTAACACGGTGCAGGAGCAGGTGCAGTTTGGACTGCTCACAGAAATAAAACTGTAAGTCATCCTGCTGTGCCCTTCAGGGTCCCCAAATGTACTTGATGCACTTGTTGCACCTCTGAGGTTACCAGGAAAGATCTGCCCCAGTACTCAGGACAGGTCCAGTGCAAAAGCTGCAGTGTTTATGCTACACCTGAACCAAAGGATGGCTGGAAGGAGGAGTTTTCCCTGGTGGCATCCTCCTGGCCACCTGTGCCCTTGGCCGACTCTATGTGGCTTGGCATCAGTCAGATCATACAATAAAACAGCCCAGCTTGTTGAAACAACCCCTAAGACAAACTGCACTCATTTGAATGTGCTTCTCTTGGGATCAGACAAGTGTTGGAGCTCTGAACTTGGGCCAGCTGTCTTGAGAAAGACTGACTTTTTCACTGCTTCAAGACTAAGGCAGCAGTCAGAGGGCATGGTTACTCTTGCACTTCTCCCTCTCCCTCTCCCATGGGACCTCTCAGGGAACCACGCCAAAGAGTTGATCCAAGCTACAAATAATATAGGACAATAAATAAATAATTAGACCGAGGGTATTTTTAGCTCAGGAAAGCTTGTTGATGTGGTTCACTATGGTGCTCCATGCATTGGAAACAGCTCAGAGGACAGAGCAAGGAGGCAGAAACAAATAGGCAAGAGAAAGAGCTTCCCTGCTTGTGAAGCTGCAGAGGGAAACCCAGACATAACAAGCTCTGAAAGGGCTTCATCTTGGTCCCCCAGGACCTCCTTTTTCCCCCCTCTACTGGGGCAGAGAGCACTTTGGCAGTTCTCTACCAAAATAATTCAAATCCACTGGTCCCCTCCTCACATCCTCCATCCAGTAAACAGTAGCTGCAGATGAGATGTTAGTTACCATCTGGAGAGCAGAATAAAGAGGGCTGCTTCTGCTAAGAAATCAACAGTGTGTGGCTGTCAGAGTATCAGCCAGAACACCTCAGTGCAGCTTTCTCCCTCATGCACAAATTTTTGTTTGCGCTGAGAGATACAAGGGATCTAAGTGCATCCACAAAGTGAACTTCATCACACCAGTATTTACCAAGTGAGAACCTGGGTCATAAGCAGTATATGCTGAGCAAATAAAACCCAAATCAAACAAAACAAGGTAAATCCCTGCAGCAGTATTACTGAGCTCAGGCAACAGCGCAGAATAATTTTCCAACTAGAACATTTGAAAACAAAATAAAATGGCCTGCTTATATCTGATGAATAACACCATTCCTGCAATTTCTTTGCTTATGGAAACTGTTCTAAAAAGATACATGCTATATATATACATCTGTATATAATATCACAGTGTGAATGCCACTCTGGCCAGAGGCTAAAGCACTGACAATGAGGTGCTCCCCTTGCTCCACAGAGTTTTAAGTGGGATGTGCATGCTTGAGTGGATGGAATTTGTTACAATTTAACCTCTATTGAACTCAACCTACTTGTCCTCTAAAGGACAGATTCTGATGCCACATGCAATACATTCATTACACAATTTTGTTCCAATGTGTAGCAAAGCCAGCACTATCCAGGTTTAGGAGTCAGTGGTGGGCATGGATACTTGCATGGTACTGCTGGAGGTTATGGTAGCATGTACCATATAATAGATGTTCTGTGTGGACACTTACACATCTTAGCTAAAAGGGAGAGTAAAACATTCAGGGTGAGAACAACCCTGACCAGCAGAAAAGCCAAAATCCAGAACTGAACTTCAGGGCATGGGCTGATCCCTGAAAGACGAAAGCTTTGCTTTTATCTGTGATGTTAATATAATGAAAACACAACCGGTCTGGAAAGTTTTGACACAGAGGGCACGTCCCAAGAGGCTGCTGTCTGTGGCAGTCCTGAGAGCAGGCTGCAGGCTGGGAGTGCAGGGCTCTCCTGTCCCAGCCAGGGTGATCTGCTGGGCCCTCAGTGCCCAAGCCACCACTCCTATGACATGGGGCAACCCAGAATTCTGCAGGGCAGCATCATGGGACTGTCACCCTAAAGCATTTAAATTCTGTGTGATATAGATTTTAGCCCATTTGCTGCAATTCTTAAATGCCAAAGTGATGTTGATCTTGAATCAGCTGCAGCATTACCTCAACAGACAGCCTAACAAAAATTTAGATATTGCTGAAATGACCCATAAGTCAGGTGCTGTATAAGGCAGCAGCAATCAAAGGGCTCAGGAAAGAGGCACACTAAACTGACAAATGCAAACTCATTGAATTTAGTGCTTATGAAAAGTGCAGGGTTGGCTGTCCTGGCTACTAAAAGTTTCTGTGTGTCCACAGACATGCTTGTAGACATGCATCCCCTTCTCTGCCTCAAACTTGGACTTACAGGAGTATTTCTAGGCGATACAAGCTGGTTCACCCTCGGCAATCCTTTGGTCCTTGGCCACTTTTTTCTTGTGCAGCCTGAAGTAGTAGTGTGAAACCAAAGCATTTCCTAAATAGCATTTTCCTCAAGTGATGGTAGGGAGACAGAGGCCATTCATACAGCTGTAATGCTAAGCAACAATATTTTCCCAAATCCATACAAGCTCAGATTAAACAAAATGGTCCCTGCAGCAATTACACTGATACAAGTAAAATCGGTTTTCATCTTTTCCCCAGAAAATCTCTGATTACTGAAGTCCCAAGCCTGTCACACATATTTGCCCCAGACTTGAGAAAAACCCCAGAGAATGCTTTGAAACCAAATTATCACCAATCCCCAAATCACTGTTTCTATCCCTGCTTAGTCTGTGTTAGTCTCCCTTCACCCCTGATACACATCAAAATAGTAACTCACAAAGGCAATTTCAGAGATATACAAGTCCATTTCCATGCTTCATATGTCACTTATAACTATATATGCCCTAGTATGATAAATTTATGTACTTGCATGTTTTCTAGCCATTACTGACAAAAACACAAAACTTGTAGATGAGGGATATTTCTTTA